CCAGTCTGTACAACAAGCGCAGCTACATGGAGCTGTTTATACGATTTTCTAGAGGAATATCTCCTACCATTCTTCTGAATCTTCACAGCAGCAGCTTCTCGTCTCAAGTTCTCAAAAAGTTTGCAAGATAGTCTTCCTATCATATTTACAAACGTTTTTATAATCAGTGAATCATTCAGTGTGAGTGTGTGACAAAGTATTTATTTATGTAAGAATCAGATGGCTCACCTCTGCATAGAGCTTGGAGAGCTATTGTAGCCTTTCTAAGAACAATGAAGCGTTTCTGAGCCTGATGAGTTCGTATTCTTCTCTGTATCTTTTTGGCAGCACCACTAAGCACCTCAGCCCTTCTTGCGTCGAGCTCAGCCATCTGACCAGCCCTCAAGAACACCTTTGTCTTACCAATCTGCAGCATTACCAAAACATATGAGTTTCATTGCATTTGGTGAGCGAACTTCCATTGCAGCACTAATACTATACAATTGGAGGAACAGTTAGGTACCTGGTAACCTTTAAGTCCCATGTTGTCCAAGATCTTTTTAGATGCGACTTTCTCATCGTAGCTGTTTCAAGGAAAACTCAGAATCTGTAAATACTGGTTTCAACTCTCACAAAACAGAGCAATTTGACGGACGGTTTTTTTTTGTTTACTTACTTCCCTTCTAACGATTGAGGAGAAAGAAGTCCAAAACGGTTTATGAACTCAAAGAACGGTTTACGAGTTGGATACCCCGCGCAACTAATTCTGATAGCCTCTAAAACACCCTGTGAAGAAAAACATAATTCAGTTATTAGCAGACACGTTTTCTGTCTAGAACAACCTCTTTGTAGAAAATATTCTCTTGTTCATATTATTATTATACTTACACCACATCGAAGCTGCTGCATGATGTTCACATTCTCAAAAATGGCAGGCTTTAAAAGATTGTTAGGCTTCACACATCTGATGTAATGTGGCTCAGTAGAGTTTAATGTTTCCATCAGTTGCTGGAGCTGAAGCTGCATAAATCATTCCAAATGTATTTTACTTCTTACATTTACTTGTTAAGAAAACAATCTGAAGATTTTAGAATATAGAACAAAGCTTAATTTATACCTTAAAACGAGAGCCAATGGATGAAAACTTTGAAGATTTAGAAGTTTCTTCAGGAAGTGGAGGGAAAAGACCCACGACAAAAGGACATTTGGAGGCTCCCAACAAATCTTGGTGTTCAGGGATCACATAATCCTTGTTTTTATCCAGAAATAGTTCTGACTGATACAGAACCTGAAAGAGAGAAACTTGTGAGACGGTCTTTTTATTTGTGTGTCAAATTTTGTTGGAAAAAAAAGAAATACAGTATATACAACGTACTTCTCCAGCATAATGGGCAACGGCAAAATCTGTTCGAGAGAGTTTTGGTCTGATGAACCTCTTGTGGGCCTTAAAAGTCTGATATAGCTTGTTTGCAAATGTTTCGTGCGTTGATTTTGGAAACATACTGAAAAATCAAAGCTCATTAGTTCAGGAAGACAACATATTATTAACCACGTAAAAAAGATCTATGGATCTTTAATATTACCAAGCTTCATCGAGGAGAGCAACAATCCCACCAGGCTTCTGCAGATGGAAAAATGAAAGGAGAAAGTGAGATTAAAATAAATAAGAATTCCCTTTTGAGAACATAAGTTGTACTGTTCTCTGTTAAGAAATGACCTTCTCTATAAGATCAAGAACATCTTGGTTGTCCACAAATTCAATGTAACTCCAATCTATTGCTTCTTTTGTGTACTCTTCCTGCTCCATCTTGAAAACGTGCTGAAAACACCACAAGAGACTACTTAAGAATCACAGCTAAACCAAACAAACAAAATTTCCACTAAAATCAAGAACAAACCTGATTGAAATGTTGCTGTAACTTCTCATTAGTGAAATTAATACAGAACTGTTCAAAACTGCAGCAGAATATTGTATTAGCAGAGAAATTGACGGACTGCATATATTAGATCACGCAAAAAGTTTCATTACCTGTTAGTCTTGAAGCTCTCAAATCCGTAAATGTCAAGAACTCCAATAAGGGATTTAGAAGTGGCATCTTGTCCAATCGAATTATTAATCTTGTTTACCAACCTGCACATCACTAGAAATATTCACTTAGCAACAAATTATGTAAAAGATCCATTACTCTAACTCGACTCCTACAGGCTAAAACCAGCCACCTACCAATCGAACAACCGAGAATAGACTGTCTTAGCAAGACCGTCCCTGCTTGTAACAGCACTCTGTGGATCCAGACTTCTCTTGATAACTTCCTCCGGTGTTATCATAACACGTTTACACAATGCATCTTCAAGTGCCTTCAAATCACACCTGAAAACAAGACAAAGGCCGATTAGCTTCATACAGAAGTCTTGATCTCAGAGTCAGAAATGTTTGTTACTTACATGAGAAGTTCCGCTGCTGTCTTAAGATGAAATTTGGAATTGTCATCCTTAGGAACTGATGAATCAACTTCCTTTCCTTTAGTAAATTCAATGTTTCCAATATGAAGAATTGCAGCAACCACCCTGAAGATTGCTTCCTGTTCCTTTTCGCTGATTCCGACAATATCCATAGCTCTCCTTGTGGCAAGATAGTCATGAGCATCGCTTATACCGACAAGCTCGAAGCACTTTGACTGGTTGAGATAATGAAAGGTCTTTGGATGACCAAGCTTGTACTTTTCGATTTCCTCCTGTGGTGCGGCACAAAGAAGATAGAAGCAGTGGTAATTGCGCTCAGGATCAGAGATTTGACACACACGAGACCTCTCTAGAAGATAGGTCCTAATAGCTGCTCCTGATATTCTTCCTTGCTTGTCAAATTGGATTTCAACAAATTTACCAAAGCGACTGTGCCAAAAAGCAGCATTTTCAAAAAAATACAATCAGATAGATGAATATGAATAGATGCACATTAATTAGTATTGAGTAGGTTTTGGATTCACCTTGAGTTGTTATTCCTCACAGTTTTTGCATTACCAAAGGCTTCAAGAACAGGATTTGACTGGACGCAGATATAACATACAAGTAATTAGTAGATTAAGCTCATGAATACGAATATATAAGAGAGACAGAGATAGAGAAAGGTGAATGATTACTTCAAGAACTTGTTGTTCAACAGTGCGTCCTTCAGTGACTGCACGACCTCCCAAGTAAGCAAGGTATCTCATAAGCATCTTTGTGGTTTCTGTTTTTCCTGCTCCACTCTCTCCACTTACAAGAATCGAATTGCTTTTTCCCTCATTAATCATGGCCCTGCAGAGTGTACATATATATATATATATATATATATATAAGAGGTCGTCTTAGTCTGACAACATATATATACATGTAGATCATAATTGTACCCCTTTGTATGAAAACTCACCTGTAAGCAACATCAGCAACTGCAAAGACATGAGGACTTAGCTCTCCAAAAGGTGCTCCTTTGTATTGTTGCATCATATGGGCATCATAGATGTGAGGCAATCTTTGAAATGGATTAATCGCTATTAGAATGTTTCCTGTGTATGTCTGTCATTACAAAATACAAAAAAGATCTAGTCAAGACAGAAAATAGTAAAAAGGTCCCCTCCTAAAGAAATAGGTTTAGTACTAACATAGATCTCATTAAGTTCATATCTGATCTTTAAGTTCTGGAGAACACCAGGTTCGTGCAAGTAAGAGAGCTTTGTCATGTCATCAACACCACCTGCAGGAGCTTCCACATCCTTTGGGTATATCTTTGACAACTTTGCAGTAACCTACACAAGTGATCAAGAATATAAATGAGTTTTGGTGGTGAAACTGAAATGTAACGGATTTTGGGGATTGGACTAGCCTTCTTTCCACTTTTGGATTGGATCACAACTTCTTGCCCATTGATCTTTTCAACCTCACCATCAATCCAAGCCACGTCTGAGTCTTCAAACCAAACATGAGAACCTACGATGATATTCACTGGAGTTCCCTGCAGTTTACATTACCATGACAGGTGTTGATATGCGCTTACACATGAATTGAACGATCAAACATGAAAACATTCACGTACCATTTATCCAATATTGTTCGTCTTCTCTCGCTTTTCACAATCACTGCAAGTCAGTGATATCTAATCCTTGAGACATTCTTTCCCACAAAATATATGGGACGAGTGACTTGTCACGCAAGAAAGCTATAAATCTGTAGATTTCGAGACAAACAGCCACACCGGAGATCCGGACAAACCGGCATGAAAACAGAATCGATCACAGTTTCCGAATTCCGAATAATCAAAATCAGACCACCGAGGTAATACCAGAATTTCAAGACATGGTGTAAAAAGAAAACGATGGGATCACGAGAAACTGAAATGGGAATCGAGATCAGCAGATGAGATCGGAGAAATGGAGAAAGTTGAGAGAGAAAAGAAGAAAAGAGGTGAAAGAGAGATTGTAGGAAGGAGTAAATAAAAAAAAAAAAAAATTAGAGAGAAAAAGAGAGAGAGTGACATTGTTGTTCGCCAGAGGAATCCTTCAACTCGAGTGGGTTTCGTTCCCATGGATTTCGCGCCAATTAGTGGACCCTATTCACTCACTCTCCTCGCAAAACGACGTTACACTCTCTCTCTTTCTCTATAGCATTTATTTATTCTCTCAACCCCTCAAGTCTTCCAGGACATCATTTACGACCCAAAATCATTAGAAAGTAATGCATATAGTCCAAAACTAATGTACATAAACTATGGAGTATACTGGAGATATATAGTTTGGAGATTCAAGTACTTTTTGGTTTAATTTTGGTAGGTAAAAGATGGCGTCAAAGAACCTGATTATATTATTGGAATGATCTTGTCGGAAAACAGAGGAGACGAACCCAATACATAAATAAGCACAGCATCGCGGCTTTTCCTATAACAACAAATACACCAAAAACATATAGTAAATTTTGGATTTTCATTTACATTGATCGAATCTAGTAGTATATGATTAAACCGTCTTTCACATATTCACAGTTGACAACTACTGTGGTGAAGGAAGCACGAGCCTGTTCAACGGCTTCAGCACTTCCGTCAGCTGAGCAAACGACGGCCTCAGATTCGGATCCCTGTCCCCAAACAAATACAAAAACACAAAACAACACATTTGTCAGCTCCGCAGATTCTAAGGCTCAAGAGTGTTTTTTAGCTTCGTTTTCATGGAGACTTACGTTTGCCAACATTCCAAGATGATCCTTCCGACGACGGGATCAAGCTCCTTTGGGATCTCAAGCCTGCGATTCTGGAAACCAACTGCTCCTACTACTTGCATCGGATTCATTCCTCTCCACGGCAATCTCAATGTTGCTAGCTCCCAAAGTATTACCCCAAAACTATATACATCACACCTGTAACAAAGCACCCACAATACTTTTTTCTCATTGTTCTTGAAATTTTTGTAGTATAGCCAAATACAGAAATGAGCATCTATACAAGCTACTCACTTTTCATTCGAGGGCTCATTGCGTAGAACTTCTGGAGCCATCCATTCGGGCTATCAAAATTAAGAATGCATTTCATCAGAATATAACGAGCATTGTCTATCCAAAGGATAATGTGATAAAAGAGCTCTGCGTTCTCACCGTTCCAGCAGTTGATTTTGAGGACAAAAAAGTATTGTGCTTTAAGCGAGACAACCCAAAATCACCGACCTGCAAGGTTAGTGAGATCAAATCAAAAATCTAGTCATTCTCACATCAGAGTAATAACAAGTCTATTAAATGGAAAGCTTAGGAAAAAAAGTGTCTACTTACCTTAACATTCCAGTTGTTATCAACTAGAAGGTTCGGTGTTTTTAAATCACGATGAACAATTGTTGGTGTGCTGGTGTGTAAGCAATTCATCCCCATTGCCTGAAAAGTAGTAACAGTGGTCTGAGATTTAGTGACTATTTTGAAGGAATAAGCCAGGGGACTTTGTAACAAGATGTATTTTTCTACCACATCAAGGGCCATTTTAATCCGGCGCCGCTCGTCAATCTGAGATTTGGGCCGATGAAGAATGCGATACAAGCTCCCTCTGTAATAGAATATTTCAGGGTTCAAGAATCTTATATGCTATTGATTTTCATAACAAGATGACGGGACAAACCTTGGCAGAAACTCTGTGACAATGGAAAGGTTCGGAGGACGAGTAACAGCCCCAAGGAAGAAAACCACGTTTGGATGACGCAATCTTCGCATAATCCGTACCTTCAGATAAGGAAACATTAGTAATACGTAGGCCAATTTGGTTCAACCAACAAAACAATGGGTAGCCTCCTTAGGCATAAAATCTAATATCGCAAGCCACTGGCAATGGCAGCTAAGAAAACTAGTAAGGAAACACAAGTGATTTTATTGCTTACTTCTCTTCTGAACTCGGCCAAAGCAGCGCCTGAGAAGTCTTGGTCCAAAAATTTCTTGACAGCAACTTCCTAAATTCAACCATAACAAAGACACAGAAAGATACACTTGAAACTTTCCACTTCTGCGGAGAAAATATGAGATAGAACAGCATTTGCGGACCCTGAATATTCCAAGTTACAAGCTCCTTGACACTATTTAAACCATAGATATTATGAACACAACTAAAGCGGAGCAAGTTCTGGTAAAACAATATTGCCTACATTAGCAATCTTATAAAGTCAAACGTAAGGTTCTGCAAAAACTAACCGTGCCATTCCAGTCAGCATGATAGACCTCCCCATAGGACCCTAATCATATCATAATAAGATAAGCGTTAGAATAATAAGATAATTAGAAGCTATATGCTATATTCCTAGTAATAATAAAAGGCAGGCTACATTACCTAACCCTATTCTCTCCCCAATCACAAGATCCTTCCAAGGGATTTCACATTCACCAACATCTGCATCGTCAAGAACTTGAGGATCATTCCTGTAGGATGTAGAATCAAGAGATGAACTTGTACTCTCGTGATCCTTAAACCTCAGATCAGACCCAATAGATATGTCATCACTTGTGTACTTTCTATGATCGTGAACATGAGACTCATCGTTTTGCTGTTCATGTAGAGCAGAATTTGGTTGGAGATCTAGCTCATTGTTGCTGTTACTGTTCATATCCTCCGCCAAGCTTGGTGTGAACTCATTTCCAGCGGAAGTGAAAGATGGTGGCGCAAATGTCACACTGTCTCTGCCAGGCACATTTGACAAAACAGCTCCACCGGAGCTTGAGGCAGCATATGAGGAATTACTGTTTCCATAGCGAGGTTCACGATGGAGTTTCGGGAGAATATTATCCATGTAACTATTCTCTTTTCTCTTCGGAGCTTCATTGCAACTGTAGTTCTTCCACATCATTGGTGCAGGAGATCTACCAACCAGAGGATTGTTTTTCTGTTGATGAAAATCATCAACATTATTCAAACCTGATTTAGTGGGCATGAACAGCTTGTCAGTTCCTTTATTTTGAAATGGGTTAAGGTCTGCGAAAAGGTTTTTCGGATCTTCCTCAGCGTTCTGATTGTATGGAACTATATTCATGTTCGTTCTTGAACTATCATTTATGGCTCCTCGACTCCCCTTTGCAGAAATATTCTCCAACTGACCATTACTAGTTACGGTAGAAGGTGAAGCGCTCAAATCTGAATTCCGAAGTGGTGCCAAATTTGAAGAGCTATTGTCAGCCATAGAACTCTGACTACTGCCTTCTCCCTCTGACAAGTGAGCTGTGGGAAATTTGTTTCCATGTAAGTGATATGGCTCAATTGCAATATCAGCAGGTATAAGTGTCCCAGGATCTGTCATAAGATCAACCAGGTACTCTCTGAAAGAAAAGGGACACATGTTACGTCTTCGCAAAAAAAAACCTTTTAAGAAATTACTGGAATCATAGTGAGAAGATTAAGCAGCAACCTATCATCTTCCAGTCTAATTGTGTTCACAGCATCATCCTCGTTTCCCGTGTAATGGCTACCTTTTACCAACCTACAAGGTAACCTGACACTATCTGCCAAAACCTACATTGGAAGAAGTAAACCGCCCACGAATCAATTTCCCGAACCAAGCAAGATTTATGAGCATAAGAACCAAAAGAAGGAGACTGAAGTCAGAAAGATGGTTGGGAAAATAACCTTGAAAAGCAGAGCACGATGCCTGGAGAGACCAATATTCACAAATCCAAGAGGGAACACACAAGTATTTAGCGCTGCCTTGAACTCGCTGCTTTTCTCAGTCCACCTTGCCATAACTACACTGGAATCTTCCGCAGATCCACCCATATGCCCTGTGACAAGCTCAGCCAGCCTCTGCACCAACACATTAACACTGGTCGTAGGACAATCCAGCGCAATACATTGCGCAATTTGTAGCAACTCGTCCAGGGAAGGATCAATGGATCGGTTTACAACTACAGCTTCAAAGCCAGGTGTTCCTTGATTGCTTTCAAGATTTTCCAGCGATGGCATTTCTCCATGCTTCGCTGAGTCTGTTGATAAGCTGTACACGTCGTAGAAACTATCCACAACTTTCTCCTCATAGTCAAGCACACCATATTCCTAGAGAAAAAGGCAATACATTTGGCTCACATAAATTACAACTACTACCAATATTTCGTCTTGTGAAAGCGAAATGCCAGAAATTGATCTTTGTGGAACTCTAAATCAGGCTCCGCATAACTTGAATTCATTTTCTTGTCAAAATTGATAAACTTGAAGAAAGTATGTTGAGAGTGAAATGAGCATTTCCCTGATTAGAAACAAGAGAAAACTTACCCAGTACTGTCTCGATAACCTCTGGGCTACCACCTCGGATGTATCCCTCCTCGATTCCGTCCGGTGATTGCTTCCTAAACTCAGCAGCGTCGCCGCTCGGATCTGATGCTTCTCCGGATCCTCACTCGACTGCGAATTCGACGCACTGATCGCTAGGGCTAACTGCACTTGGTATTCCTCCTCCGAGGATATGTAATCCGAACGGTTCGTGGCAGCCGTTGGAGCGGGAGAGGTAATCGAAGTAGTGGGTCCGGTCACCGGAATCGTCTCCGGGACGGAAGAAGGGGTTGCTTGAGGATTCGCAGCAGCAGCAGCGTGTGTCCGATTTTGATCCGAAGGAGGAACGGCATCGTTGGTCCGATTCTGCTCCTGATTACCACCTCTGTGTAGCTTTTTGAAAATATGCTTCATCGCTCTTAGATTCTTCGTTTGGTACTTTGGTCAATCAAAAGGAACAAAAAAAGTGGTGGGAGAGTGAAAAAATTAACGACGGAAACTTAGCCGGCGAGTGAAAAAGGGAGGGACCAAGTTTGCTAGATTTACGATTATGCCACTATGTTGACCTTTTTGTCAAATTTATCCAATGAAGATGAAGTAAAAGAGGACATTTGACACGTTGCCAACGGAACGGACCCACACGTCTGGGAATTTTCTATACGCGGCAAAAAAAGGAATAAGTTTTAGTTAACCAGAAGCTTATGATATGCATGTATGTATATCCGTAAATGCTCATAAAACACTACCACAGAGAATCTTAAGTTAATGGTTAGCAATATATGTTCCCGACAGAGTTTTGAGCACTAGCTCTTTGAGAAATTCCAAACCGAAATCCAAACTAATCTTGCGAATCTACAAAGGACCGTATATGCTTACTATTCAAAAAGTATCAAAAGAGTCTTTCATCAGAACTTGTTTCAGCACAGAGCCTTTGACCAAGTTGGTACAATGCCATAGAACCAAGACTTAAACAAATGAAATTTTATTATTGATATTGCAATACATACAGATCAACCTAACATACAACCACATTCTCTTTGTGCCAAGATTTCAACGTTCTTCCTGAAAAATCTAATTGGAAAAGGAACAACAAATAATACAACAACAATTCTAAGCGTTCTGTCTCTCTGTGTAATGGCGCAGCCAACCATCATTCCGATTCTGAGTGTAACAGCTTGATCTTCTTACTGGGTCTTGCTGGGTTTTTAGCCGGAACTGCTTTTGTTGAATCCAGTCAAGAGTTCATAAGTATATTAAAAACTCACTATGCATACCAACTAGCAAGTGGCAACACTAGTACATGAAGAAAAGTGAGAAATGTAAATAAACTTACAGTTAATGCTCGTTTTCAACTTCTTCCTCTTGGCATTACTTACTTGGTCTCCACTACGTATCAACTTATAATCTCGTAAAGGATGATACGTCATGGATTCTACCTCTTTTCCGGCAATGTCAAATCGTTTTTTTACTTCCCTCTGCAATTACAGAGAACGCATATTTAAGGGACAGCTAAAAAAAAGTCAGCTAGTGTAACATGATTGGAGAGCCCTAAGAGATACTCACAAGTGACCTATTCACACCCATGATTTGCTGTTTGCATAACTTCATTTCCATCTCAAGCGCACGCAAACGGCCCGCAACAGGAACAGCGTTTTGCTCAACCATTTGCTTTTGTCTGCCACGTACAACCTCTGGCTGCCAAACGTTCAAAGCTACTGATGCTTGCCTAGGAGAGCCAATAAACAAATCAATCTCATTTTCATTTTGATCAACAACAAAAAAAACATCTTTTTCAAATTGATACGACGTTCTTCATGTTTAGGACTACCTGATTCTCTGCAAATTTGAAAATTCCATAGAAGCACCTTGAAATCTCTCTGCCTCCTCTGATAATCGAGTTTCCAATTCACGAATCCTCCGACCCAATTCTGAAACTACACTTTCCTTCCTCAGTAGAGCTCTTCTATGGGCAGCTACTTTCCTCTCCTTCTCCCTCTCAAACCTATCCACAATCCACAAATTATATATTTTTCATAGAGCTTAAACTCTCACAGTCACAGCTGATGACATGAAACAGAGTTTTTTTATTCTCCATCAAAACAATGACAGCACCGGAAATCTCCTAAGCAAAGCTTCAAAGTAAAACATATATATCAAACGAATACAATACCTTGTCCTGTAGATAAACTTGGTGGGAGATTGAGAAGAGGAAGAAGAAGAGTCGATATGGCTGGGGAAATCATGGAAGAGCAGAAGGAGCCAGAGGGAATCGTCACAGGACAATCGGCAGAGACGGCGAGATGAGATGGAGATGCAGCAGAGATCTTTGTAGGAGAAAGTCGACGACTTGACGCCAATTTCTAGTATCTTCCTCCATAGCTCGTCCGGTATCTCGTCTGCGGACATTCTCTTCCTCAGATTTCGCTCTTCGGGTTTGCGCAAAATAACCCAATTGCTTTGGATCCGAAACTTATTCGGACTATTCGATTGCAAAGGATAGTTTCGACTTTCGATCTAGATTCGAGTCCGGTTCATTAAGCTATTGATCTGCCGGTTCGTTTTTCTGGATTTGGTTATCTGATTGGGTGATAATTTGTAAATGTTTAATATGGAGGCTGATTTGTAAGAGACTGATAATTGAAATGGTTGTTTTGTAATTTATGTATTTTTAAGTGGCCAGGATGGTTTCCGGTTAACCAGCTCTAGTCAAAAGAAGACTCAGAACTCAGAAGTTACCATTTCCTATTTCTTCTCCGACTCGCCATCTTCGTCGTCTTCCTCTGGAACCAAAAATGGCGTAGCCAAAAGAGTACATCTCACAAAAATTTGACAAGGATGGAGTCTAGTAGTATCCTGGATTCTCTCGGAGTAGAGATAATCGGCGTGATGGCTCCGGTCTCCATCTGCATGTTCCTCGTCGTCCTTCTCACCTACTCTCTCTCCGTCACCTCCGACCTTCAGATCCGCAGCGCCGCCAACCTCGTGTACATGGAGAATCCCTCTGACTCCACCACCGTCAAGCTCGAAGGCAGCCTCGCCAACGCCATCGTCTTCGTCGTCCTCGTCGCCGCCGTCACTTTCGTCATCGTTCTCCTCTTCTACTACAAGTTCACCAATTTCCTCAAGCATTACATGCGCTTCTCCGCCTTCTTCGTCCTCGGTAATCAACATTCACTTCTCATTAGGGTTTTCCTCGATTTCGCTCTTATTTACCAATGTTGATTGTGTGCTGGACTCTATTTACTTAGGTACGATGGGAGGCGCAATTTTCCTGTCGATTATCCAACATTTCTCCATCCCTGTTGATTCCATCACCTGCTTCATATTGCTCTTCAATTTCACGATTCTGGGGACTTTGTCTATGTTCGCCGGTGGGATACCGATTGTGCTGAGACAGTGTTACATGGTTGCTATGGGGATAGTTGTAGCAGCTTGGTTCACTAAATTCCCTGAATGGACTACTTGGTTTATGCTGGTGGCTCTAGCTTTGTATGATCTGGTTGCTGTTTTGGTTCCTGGTGGGCCACTTAAGCTCTTGGTGGAGCTGGCTTCGAGCCGCGATGAGGAACTCCCTGCCATGGTTTATGAAGCTAGGCCTACTGTCTCGAGCCACCAAGGGAGAAACCGTGGCTCTAGCTTAAGGGCTTTGGTTGGTGGTGGTGGTGCGGTTTCAGATTCTGGATCAGTAGAGCTGCAAGCAGTTGGGAATCATGATGCAACTCGTAACGTGGATTACAATGCTATTGCGGTGAGGGATGTAGACAATGTAGTTGAGAGGTCACCACCTGTGGTTGAAATTCCAAGGGAAGGGCACTTTGCATCTGCTGTATCATCCTCTGAGCTCTCAACAGCAGTCGGAAGCAGAGGAGAAATTGTTGTTGCAGACGAAGAAATGTCTCCTCTGGTTGAGTTGATGGGTTGGGAAGACAATAGGGAAGATGAGAGTTTTGAAAAAGGAATCAAGCTTGGTCTTGGAGACTTTATATTCTACAGTGTGCTTGTTGGTAGAGCAGCAATGTATGATCTGATGACGGTGTACGCGTGTTACCTTGCGATCATCTCGGGACTTGGGTGCACTCTTATTCTGTTGTCAGTGTACAACAGGGCTCTTCCTGCGCTTCCCATATCCATCATGCTGGGTATTGTTTTTTACTTCTTGACGAGATTGTTGATGGAGCCGTTTGTTGTGGGGATGGCTACAAACTTGATGATGTTCTGATTTACCTAAAACTCTCTAGTGGAACAAGTAAATGATGTCCTGGTTATGCTCTGCTTTATCTATGTATTGCACCTTGTGCTGTTTCGAATGAGCTAAGCTAAATATTCTAAGGGAAAGACTGCTAAATTGCTAATGTAACCCAACAAGTAGTTTGATTTGGGTTTGTAAATGGATAGTCTCTGATGAGGATTGACATTCCAGGTTTGATTGAAAACTTTAGGATTGATCTATGGTTTTATTTCGTTAAGATTGTATTTTCTCCAACCACATACTTTTCTGCGACATTCAGTTTCTTCGTAGTTATTTATATATGACGTATTCAATTAGGAATTTAAAATTTCCAAAATTAGTAGAAGAATATGAACAACTTTGAAAACAAAGGATCGATCACGTTAATATCGTTGATCTCGCTCCACTTTTCTCTTCTATTCTTTTGATTGGAAACAAGCTATTTTTATCGTATGTGTTATCTTTATATAGTGAATAAAGAAATTAACAAGAACAAGAGAAACCATAGTTTTTGCCATCTTTATCAGATTTTGAGCCATGAAGTCTGCTATTGTAATCATCGTTTCTTGTGTTTTCATGTTTCTTGTTTTGAGCTATCCTAAAGGTAAGATTTTTTAGCAAAAAAAAAAAAAAAAAAAAAAAAAAAAGGTAAGATTCCTTATAGAATTACAGTTTTAATTGATGACTTGCATGAGACTATAGAAATATCAAACTGATTTATCATTTTGCTTATTTACAAACCTTTTTATTTACCATATCACAATTTTTTCTTTTTTGGATATAAAACAATAGAGGTAAAAGCTGCTCCCAAAAGGTGTCACCTAAATCAAAGGTTTTCGGGAACTTGTGGAAATGATGGAAGCAAGGCGTGCTTGGGCAATTTCAAGAACAAGAAATTTAAATACGATAGTTGCGTATGTTCTAATGTAGTTTCCCCTAGCCCGGAAATTCCACCGTTCCGTGATTGCAATTGCAGTCGTCCTTGCTAAATTTGTTAATGTTTTTCCATTACCAAAGTCTTTTCACTAATAAATAGATATTTGGCGTTCGCGTCTGTATCTAATATGATTCGAAGAATATAAGTAAATACTTATGTTGATCTGTATTTGCTTACTTTTTGAGTAAATTGTTTTAGCAATCTGAAAATCTTCTATGACACGGTCAAATAAACACAACGCACAATCAGACAATAACGAGACAATAAAACAAAAACACAAACAGTCTGTCTGTTGAGTAACTTGAGACACTATGATGTATTATCGTATCGCATAAAGATATAAGTGTACTTGAGACACTGTGATGTATAACCTTTTCAAGAAATCATATGATCATCAGTTAAGGTGACGTAACTTGGAACACGATGATGTACATCTTTATGTTGGTGGTGGTGGTGATACGGATGAGATCTGATCTTCAGTGTTTAATTAATACTATTATATACTATGATCGATCTAATAATCTATTTGTAACTGTGAAATTCTTTCTTGAAAGAAGAATCATTAAAAAATGAATCTGAAATAAAAAGTAGTATCTTTTATAGTTACATGTTTTATTTCTGTAGAATCGTATTTTCTCCAACCCACATACTTTCTGTTCCATTCAGTTTCTTCATATTTATTTATATATTTGACGTATTCAATTAAGGTTTTAAATTTTCCAAATTTAGTATAAGAACTAGCAGAGTACCCGCACGTTTGTGCGGTGTGACGTTGTTGTTTTGTGTAGAAAATTTAAACCCTAAATCCGAACCCGACAAAAAACCCTAATCAAAAAATTTAAAAACCCAAACTTTTTTAATAGGTCTAAACATGAAAATCCGAAATCAAAAAAATCCCGAAAACCCTGACTGAACAAAAAAAATCTGGAAACTTTTTCACCCGGAACCCGACCCCAATACCTAATCAAAATTTTAAAATACTCAATTTTTTTAATATATCTAAACCCGAAAACCAGAAATCTAAAAAATCCGGAAAACCCTAAACTGAAAAAAAAAATTGAACCTAACCCGAACAGAAATTTTCAAAGAAACCCGAACAATTTCTATATCTCTATATATATCTCTATAAAATTATGTCTCAGATTTTCACCCAAACCCGAACTTGTCTATAAAAACCCGAAAATCCAAAAAGCATATTCTATTGATTTGGAATTATCGTTAGATTATGTTAAGTTTTTTTTTTGCAGATTTTTAAGAGATGGAAAACGGAAGTTTTCTAAACCATCGGTTTATTTTAAGTTATTATTCTTGTATCCAAACAATTTTTTCCATTTATTCTTCTATCCAAATAGATTTTTCTCTTATTCTTATATCCAAACAACTTTTGTTTCCATTTATTCTTCTATCCAAATAGATGTTTCTCTAATTCTTGTATCCAAACATTAGAATGTACTTCTCAATTAATAATATAAAGATATGAACAACTTTGAATACAAATGATCGATCACGTTAATATCGTTGACCTCGCTCCACTTTTGTCTTCTATTCTTTTGATTTGGAAACAAGCTATTTTTATCGTATGTGTTATGTATATATATTAACACGCTAGCAGTGAAAAACAAAAATTAACAAGCAGGAAAAAAACATAGTTTTTGCAATCTTTAATCAGATTTTTTGAGCCATGAAGTCTGCTATTTTTTTCATTGTTTCTTGTGTTTTCATGTTTCTTGCTTTGACCTATCCTAACGGTAAGATAACTATCAATTCATTATAGACTAACAATTTTGATTAATGACTTGCAGACTAAAGAAAAATCAAACTAATTTATCAATTTGTTTATTTAAACTTCTTTATCTACCATATAACGATTTTTTTTGTTGATATAAAACAATAGAGGTAAAAGCTGCCCCCAAAAGGTGTCACCTAAATCAAAGTTTTCCCGGAAGTTGTGGAAATGATGGAAACAAGGTGTGCTTAGGCGATTTCAAGAACAAGAAATTTAAATACGATAGTTGCATATGTGCTGATGTTACTTACCATTTTCCGGGAAATCCACCACACCGTTACTGCAATTGTAGTCGTCCTTGCTAAATTTGTTATTTTATCCATAACCAAAATTTTCTTACTAATAAATAGATGATTAAGTTACCATTGCGTTTATTATTTAAAAGTCGTGTCAATCATAGATTCAAAACAAAATTAATTATATTATTTTTTCTACGTGTGTATTTTCATTATATCATTTTTTGTACGTATACGTGTATTTTCATTATATCACCAACCAAATTAAATCAATTAAAAAACAATTGTAAAAAAATTGCACATGTACATAAATATATAAGCTTATAAGAATAAATATATTACATAAATATATAAGCTTGTAACAATACAAAAGTACACTTATAAAGAAAAGAAATGAAAACATGAATTTATTTTTATAATAAAAGAGTGGCTTATAAGAAAAAATTAAGAGCATTGTATAGATTTGAGTACACTTGCAAATACACTAAAAAAAATCAAACGTACATACAGCTGAAGTTGATTCCGAACAAAGAAATAAACGAAGTACACGACAAGAGTGGTTTCTTCTTAATTAGAATGCATTGAAGATGAAGCAGGTAGCAGAGTATCTAAGCAAATGGATTGCCTCCAGTAGATGCAACAGGGCCTTGTGTTGCTGAGTTCCTGCACCCATGTTTAGGCAATAAGACAAACTATAATATGTCCCACAAAAACAAACTATAAAGAGAATCTACTTCTTGGATTCTTCACTCAAAAACCATGTCAGACTCTTATAGACAATATCATCATAAGTTTTAAGATTACATAATCACATTGTGAAACTTACTGTAGTTGAGATGTTGATGCTTGCTCTGCCATGCATGCTAAGCCACCTGCATCAGTTTTTCAAGGAATTAGATAAGAATATAAGATACTATGTAGTCTGCCATGCATGCTAAGATATATCATGCAACATGGTGAGATGTTGATTATCTCTGCAAGGCTCTAATAAATAGAAAGGAGTATAATTCACAGCAGTTATTTAATATCACCTTGTGATCCTGTTGGAGCCTGTAGATACGAGGGTACAGAATCTTCAGCAAGCCACGGTTGTGATACACCATTAAGGAAGGTTGTTGGTGTCTGCATATCAGGTAGGGCCCCTTGTAAAGAACTCATGTCCAAGTACTGGCATTAAACACAACCATAACAAAGTCGTCAATCAGATAACTTTAAAGGAGGAAAGTGATAGATTCAAGAACTAGTATTTGAAGTCATCACCCATAACTTGGACTCTAGATTCAAACAGCATTACACCATTGCATACAAAGGATGCTGTGAGATCTGATTTGATTATAAGATATGTGTGGAGAGGGGCTGTACATACCATGTCATCTGAGTCAAACTCGGAATCGTAAGGGAGATCAAACGGATTAGCTGACTTTTGACTGTTTAGTTGCTGCCAAGCTTCTCCCTGCGAACAAAAAGTTTTTGATCGATCAAAGACTAAATAACTGATAGACAAGTTTGAAGAAGTGTAGTCGATTAAGCATCTAAGAGAAAACTAACTGGAACCATATGAGGGGAGTATGCTGGTGCCATGACAATGTTCCCTGGAAATCCAAAACCAGAAGAGCCAACAGGTATTGTGGCTGTATGGGTGCCATCATTTCTTAGTTCCTGTGACATGACATCAGAGAGGAATCAATGGAGAGACTCAACCAGAAAACACTGACATGATAAGGGAAAATGCAACAACCTCTACAAGCTGTGGTTCTAAATGCTGTTGTTGATCAATGTTAGATGACGAAATACTTGCTCCATCTTGGTGAATAGGCTTAGCGCTTTCCAAGGGATTGGCCTCAATAGAGTCAGGAAAGGCATTCCACGGCTGCAAAAGAGAAGGTCAAGTTAGAGTTAGCTCATCACAACCCCGTATAGATACTAATCTTTTTCATGCTGCACCTGAACTGATGTAATTGAAAAGAGAGAATAAAGGGTAAAGACTAACCGGGTTGTCGGCAACATTTTCTAGAGCATTTGAGAAATCATCATGCCATGGACTTGATATCGACAAAGCATTCTGCTCCACAATTGATGGATAAGGTGGCCATTGCATGCTTGTGCTAGGCTGCGGAATTACTTCATTTTTCACTTCCAACTCGGGAACTCCAGAGGAGGTGATAGTGTTTGTAGATGTTGCAACAGGCATTGGATTGTCAAAAGAAGCCCATCCTTCGTTCTTAGGTGCAGACAAGTCTGGTGGTCTTGAACTTGGTTGTTGACCCAAAGTTCCAGCAAGCAACTCTGTCGGGGTCGATGAGTATGTCCGTGCAGGACCAGGTTGATGAAAATTCACAGGTGGATATTCGGCTCCTATTGAAGGTTGAAATGTATTGCCTGACTGAGCCATTGGAGCTCCTGGCAACTGAAACAAATCAATAGGAGCCTTTGTCGACACTGCTACTGAAGGAACAGGAGGAGTAGATGATTTATTTTGCTGGTTTCCTGTAATTTGACCATTTTCAGATACGCCATCCCCTAAACCACTCGAGGCATATGACTTGACAGACATGGAATTACTGTCAACTGATCTCACACTCCCAAAAGACGTAGTTCTCTGCATGAAGAAATTGAATTCCAGAAAAAGAAAGATTGATAAGTTGGAACATCAGGAAACTCACTTTTTCATTTTCAATTGCAACAAAATAACTCTTAGCTAGATACAAACAAGCTTTGTTTAGAGGAGGTGGTTATTATTACCTGATGTAACCTGCCTGGAAATAAGTTTTCACTTGGAGGGGCATTTGAATGCTGAAACTGGGGACTACGAAATCCACCATCTTGCTGGAAATTTGGGGACCGTATTTCAGACCTGAAAGTATCTCCTCCACTTGACACAGAAAAATCTGAAGCCCTTGGAGCAGAGCCCTCATTTGCAAATTGGTCATCAGACATATGATCACTAAACCGTCCAGGGCTGTATACAAAACTAGATGCTTTTGAGTGAAGACCTTTTACTGAAGCAGACTTGCCAGTAAATCCCAAGGGTACCTTTCCGTAACGCCGCTCTTCGTACTGATAGTCGTAAGGAGGGCTTTGGGAGTAAGAATGATACGAGTTGGCCCGTCGAGTCACATCTTCAGAACTTCCATGGTTCTGCCAAATGCATTACAGGAAAAGGAAACAAATTAGTGTTTGATGCATGCCATGGTCGAATTTAGGGTAACTCAAGGAATAATAGGTAACAGAATCTAGAAGACCTAGACGAGCAAAAATTGATAATTTCAAAATCCACAATATTTTTTCTAAAAGTACTAGCAATAGAAAACACTTACACTAAACTATAGGATTTTGTTTTAGTAAATGAAGCAAACTATGAATGAAATTTAGCAAAATGCCGTAAAAGAAAATGTATTATCTTGCCTGGCTATCATTAGGAGGCTTGTCCGTAACATTTGCTCCTGCATATTTCTTTTGCACATACACATTTTTGATAAATTCACGAACTCTTTCAGCATTACTGCAAAAGAAACAACAAAAACATGATATCATGGATTATAAACAGAATCATATTTTGACAAAACAAAAACTATGCTTCTCGCTGCTCAACTATGAACACCAACAAGAAAAGGTAATTATTAAAACCTGTTGTCCGGAAGTCTCTGCCGTTGATGGTCCCAGTTTTTCAAATATGTTTCTCGGGCACGCTGAAAACAGGAAATTCTCATAAGCTACAAAGGTAAAACATCTATCTCCAGAAAGATTATAAATTGGAACGTTAGCATGAATACTACCTGATTACCACCAGTTTGAAGTACTTCAACTTCTTGAGAAGTAAACTTTGACATTGATACAGACTTCACACGATGAGTAAACTCACGACTGTAGGAAAAAAGAAAAAGAAAATGAAGGAACATGTCAAATACATCAAGGCAGAGTATTTCAGCTAAGAAACAGGAAACTGTCACAAGAAAAATACACAGAATATCAGCTCACATCATGTGCCGACGAAATCAAGTCCAAGAAAAGAGATCAAATCCCATAAAAAAGAAGCAAACATTTGGTGAAAAGCATCTCAAGCTTGTATTTTGCAAGACAATTCATTATTCAACGACTAGCACAAAGAATAGAAAAATCAGTCAGAGAGAAAGAGGAAGGTACTCACTGTATCCCGCTACAAGACATGCATACGAAGGTCCAGAAAGTGGTGCAAACATATTGAGGACCCTGCACACCAAATTTGCAAGTCTTACTTACTATACAGCCAAAAGGGAAACCAAATCCAAATCACAAATGAATGAAAACTGCAGCTTTAACAAGCTAATCATTCCATTTCCGTATTTGGAAATCAGAAAAGCACTTAGATTTGCAGATTAACTTCACTCTAATAGTTAGAACCCGTCAACGACAAAATCAAAACAAAGGAAAGCCATATCTTCAAATGATAATCTCAGAAGCTGAAGTCAAAACCATCCAGTTCAAATCTCAGTAGATACAAAATAATACTCAGGGAAACCATAAAAGTTGAGCTCTTCTAATCGAGGAAATGGAACCAATTAGGCGTTGAGAGAAACAAACAGAAATTGGAGAGAAGGGAGAGTTATATAAAATTACAAGGCTATTGCAGTTGATACAACGACGATTTGGAGGAAGCTTCATAAGACCACGAATAATCTTCTCGTTCCGCTCTTCTTCTCTCTTACTTCCCATATCGCCAACAAAATAATTGCCCCCAAATGAAAAAAACGAAGAGTGTCACAGATTACGAGATTGACTCACGAAGGAAAATTTCGTGAAATCGGAGAAAAGTCGCTGCTAATCAACGAATTTGGAGCTGGATTTTCGAATGCTCGAATTTGAATTTCACAGCAGAGAGAGAGAGAGAGAAAGAGAAAGAGAATGCTTTTTATCGCCTTTGTATCAGAAAAGGGGAAGAAAATGTTTCTGCAATAACTCCGTCTTCGTCTTTCCTCGTGTGGGCTTTTTGGTTGAGTGACCCACACCATATAATGATGATTTTAGTCTGTAATCTTATGAATTGACATTTTCTAATTTAGAGATTTCATACCAACTATACTCTAATTTGGGATCTATTCAAATTTTGAAACAAAAGAATGTTTCAAACTGTGGGAAGAAGAATGTCCATGTATTGTATATATCAAAAACGATAGATTATATTAGCATCTATGACATTGGCTTAACCATATAAGAAGGGATCACAATTTTTTTTATTTGACCACACAATGTAGCTAGATACGTCAAACGTACACAATCATGGTGATCTAATGATTCATCCTGATGGTACATAACCATCAAGTGTTGAGAGTCTTTTTATCCAAATTTCGATCATGTTTTTATTCATTGAATTTCGTCATATAAAAACATCTTAACTCTCCAATTGTATTTTTATATGTCTTAACTTAATTCACATGTTTCATATCACATATCGTTTGTAATTGCACAAATGAGAACATTTGTCTAATTCACCCAATAAGCTCAACCCTATAGGTTTCTCAATCAACGCATTACACATTTACACTTGTTCGATCGCGCGCCTAAGCAACAAAGACATAAAAACCAAACGAATCATAGCTTCGTTATTTAGTTCGTCTAATGTGATTACTCGTTCAGTATCGTTTAAACCCATAATCCTAATCATTCATCCAAGTGTTTCCCAAAAAAGAAGAAAATAGCCGACCTTTTAGTAAACCTTAATTAAATGAATTAACTATATAACGAGACACATATAGACTTGTTGAAGATTTTCATTTTTTACGCAGAAGTATATACTTGTTGTATAAGATACGCGTATGAGAAAGAAATAGTTAGTTAATTAGGATGACATAATCTTGATGAGAAATTCTAAGAGGCAATAGAATACTTAAAGATTATTAAAAGCATCTCGATTAATCTCCGTTTATTGTCTCTTCTTGCTCTCGTCTATTGTTTATAATTTATACATTTGACGTATCAAAGAGTGGGTGGGGTTTTTGCTCTAGGTATAGTGGAGTTGTTGTTCTTCTTACGTACTGCAATCCTGATAAGGTTTATTTCAACATTGTATATCCACTGATACGGCTTGTTTATTGAGCAGAAGAAGAAAAAAAAGATGTCGAAGCTTATGCAAAATCCAGTGTTCCATGAACTGAAGAAGCAAGCTTCTTTCTTCATCAAGGAGAAGATCAAGACTGCTCGTCTCGCCGTAACCGATGTTACTGTTGAAGAATTGTGAGACTATATTTTGTATATTATATTTACTCGATTTTGACCTAACGGCGTTGGTATGTTCAAATATGTTAGATTGACAGAAGAAGTTACGGCCAGTACGCACTCGTCCATAGACTCACGCTCCATGGCGGTCATAACTAGAGCTTCTTTCGAGGTTGATCAATTCCAAAGAATCGTTAAGATTCTACGTCAAAGGTTATTTCTCATCTTTAAATTTGACTGATGGAGTTCAATTACAAATATTCCACGCACTTCAAGAAGAACAAACCAAGAAAGAAACTTGATAGTAACATTTAGATCTTTGACGTGTTTCTATAACTAGCTAAGCAGTTTGTTATAATTTTCAGTTACGTATATACATACATAGCTCTGCAAATACGTTTCTATTTCTAACATGGTCATATATATTTACAAGCTGGAAAAATATTCATCAGAAATTGTGTCTATATAATTGGTATTGCTCTTCCAGAATAACAATGTTTGATAGAAGAGAATGGCGTGGAATATACAACACGTTGACAATGTTGAACCACTTGCTGGTCAATGGACCTCTAAGTGTATTCAATGAATTTCAACGCGAGAGAGAACTTATTGAAGATGCCATAATAAATACTGAGTGGATTGATGAGAGAGGGTTCGATTGTGGCCTAAAAGTTCGAAACGTAGCCGAGAAGGTACTAAGATTGCTTGAAGATGGCATGTTTCTTAAGGATGAGAGGGAAAGAAACCGTAGGCAAAGCATTGGTCGGATCATCACAGGGTTCGGGAACTCGAGTTTCGTCAACATGCAATCTGAAAGGAACAATGGAAGAGACAGCTCGTTCTCGAGTGACCACAAAACTAATTGTGAAAATGATTGTGCCGTTGATGACCATCCATTCGTCGAGGACGAGCACAATGCTGCTCAACTCTTGCTTTCTTCTTCGACTTGAGATAGATTGCTCTTGTTTAAACAGATTGGTATAACTAAGTTTGATCATATGTAAAGAAAGTTTTTTCATTGACATGACTTGTATCCCAAGTACATACTTTAATTTACAAATTTTCATATTTGCTTTCTAGTAACTAGTACAATTTTCTTCTTCATTATAACAGGATTTATTATCGTCTGGTTTCTAACTGGTTTATACATGACTTCTTATTTTTCAAAAATTAACATGTGTATATCACACGAACATGAATAGTATATATAGCCCTTTGCTCTTACTAGTTAATAAATGGGAAATAGTCTATTATCGGTTGTTGCCAAAGTTACATTCTAATCATGACTTTTTGTTTGGGTTTTCGTTTGCAAACTCACAGCCAGATCTTATATATAATTTTTTCTTCTAATTATGAGAAAAATTGCCACCAAATACTTACTTGAATGACATTGTATAGATTTGGGTATTTGTGCTTTCTATACAAAAAAATGGATACAAGAAACAAAAATAATATCTTTGTAAATTAACTGTTGTGAAGAATATGAAATGCCACATTAGGATGTAGGAAGATAATTTTACCATGTTTTGTAAATTGTTTTCGCGTTAGTAACGAGTATGCATGGCGTTGTGCATCAGTAGTACAGTTTTTGTAATCAACTAAGCCTAACAATAATACCTATTAGCGATTTAGACTTAGGCACAATGGCAACAACAAAAATTTCTCAAAAAAACTTTCATAGCTTCAGTGAATAATGGACTAAAATCTGACAATTAAGATCCATGCTGCATATGCCCAACATATGATATGCTGCTGTAATTTGTTTCATATTGGACCAACCAACTTCTTACGGGATTAGCAATCCAGCAATTTCGTAAAAGTTTCTCTTTTTCAATGAACCAGAATAAAATTAAATGACTAGCATATTCAATATTTCTGATATGATAAAAACGATGATTATTTGTAAAATATAAAATAAAAATAATGTATACGCTATCTAATCTAGTAAACTATAAAAGCGTAAATCCCTTTTTTACTTTTAAGAGTTGGATACGAAAACATTAGAATGAAAGATGGTTATTAAACTGCAGCTTAAAATATCTAAACGTGATTAACAATATCAAACCAAAAGTTTATGATTGAAATTATGTTATGTTTAAGCGATTATTATTGTCATGTCCAGTTTAATTTGAAATGAGAAGGTCACGTGACGTGCTATTAATTTTATCCTTTGGATCTCTTGCTACGGCGTCGTACTGCAGCACTAGTTTCTTCTTTCTTCTTTCTTCTTCGATCACTGCTGCTTCGTTGCTTTGCCCTTTCGCACTTTCATGGTTTTTGAAGAATGAGATCTCACCAAGGTGGCCGTAAACTGACGTTTCTTCAACTCCTATGCGCCGTCGTAGTTTTCTCCGTTCTCCTTTTCACCATCCAAACTTCCTTCTTCGCAGGTTATCCACCGCCGCACCTTTCCGTCTCCTTCTCTCCTTTCTCCCACCTTAAATTTTTCGAATAACTATTTTGATTCTTAATCTCAGCAGAGAATAATCGTAAAGCAGATCTAATTCAGCCGGAAGATATCCAGATCTTATCTGATTTTCAGTCCAGCGTTCAACAGTGCGTGGTTTGTCTCTTTTCCTCTACCTCCTTCCTCCACTCCCCATCTCTTTGATTGATAAACACTTAGTTTTATGCGCGAATTTCGTTATGGATTCGTCATTTGGATTGGGGTCGATGCCAATTTGCTAGTACAAATCTGTTGTACACTTCTGAGGCTGTGTACAATGAGCATTTCAAGTCTGGACAAGTGAAACATTGTGGAAGCTAATAACTATACTGATCTGGAAGTTCACATGTGGATCATGGTTTACATATACTGATCAGAAATAGTTTAAGCTCGCTTGTTGGAGAGCCAGAATAATGTTATTGTGCTTATGCAGGGGAACAGAGGGCTTGGACTCTCTGCTCATATTATTGATCACTGCAATTTGATCCTCAGGTTCCCTCAAGGCACTAACAGTACTTGGGTATGTTTACACTTTTCTGGTTTTTTTGCTTTTTGAGATGACATTGGATTTCAAGTGATCAAGTTTTCACACTCGTATTCTTATCCATTTTCAATGACAGTACAATACACAGTTTAAAGTTTTTGAGCCACTGGAGTTCAAGTATAATGTGTGTGAGGCACTTCTCCTATGGGAGCAGGTTTGTGCTTCTTTCTTTCTTTCTTTCTCTGATTATATTTTCTTGTTTAAGAACTTCTCAGGATTCTTATGTGTCTGAGTAATGCAGTACCGCAATATGACTACAGTGTTGACAAGAGAATACCTCGATGTACGCCCTGATGGATGGCTAGACTATGCAGCTATGAGAATTGCACAGCTGTATGATCCTAAACGTCCTGTGCTATTGTTTGCTTGTGTCATTTGATCTATATTGTTGAACATTTTCATCTTTTGGGGGTTTCAGGGGAGCTGATAAGTGTTATAATCGTACGTTGTGTGAGGAGCATCTCAATGTGATCCTTCCAGCGAAGCCTCCTTTCCATCCACGGCAGTTTCATAAATGCGCCGTCGTTGGAAATTCCGGAGATCTGTTGAAAACAGAGTTTGGAGAAGAGATTGACAGTCATGATGCTGTGTTCCGAGATAATGAAGCTCCTGTCAATAAGGTAATATGTCTTAACATTATAATTTGTGGTCTTGAGTTAGGATTTTTGGTTGCTGGCGTTGCTTATATTCACGTTATTTTATTGCAGAAATATGCCAAGTACGTAGGAGTGAAAAGGGATTTCCGACTAGTTGTTCGTGGTGCGGCTCGTAACATGGTTAAGATACTCAATGGGTCTGGTCAGTACTCATACTTTTAGATAGAGATGTCATTTGCATCTTGTGATTCATTTCTCTTCAAGCACTCATTGTAGCGTTTCCCTTGTGATGTAACCCTGTGTAACTGTCATTTACTGCAGACAATGAGGTGCTTATAATCAAAAGTGTGACCCATCGAGACTTCAACGAAATGATAAAGGTATGGTTACTGTTAATTGAAGAGACTGTGTGCTTGCTTAATCCTTTCAGCCTCTTTTACATGAGGCCATGGATTTATCTAACGCTAATTTGTATTGATCTTGTAACAGACTATACCAAACCCTGTTTATCTTTTCCAAGGAATAGTCCTACGCAGAGGTGCCAAAGGAACCGGGATGAAATCCATTGAACTAGCATTGTCCATGTGCGATATCGTCAACATATATGGTTTCACCGTCGATCCTGGATACACCGAGTGGCAAGTATTCTAAATAGCTCTTTGCTATCTCTCTCTCGTTTCCAAACTTCTTTAGGACATTGGATACTTCCAATTCAAGTATGCTTCCAGAGATGATCCCTCATGTTTCCTCGCATTTGTATCATCAATGTAGGACGCGTTACTTTTCCACGCCAAGGAAAGGGCATAACCCACTACAAGGAAGGGCATACTACCAACTGCTAGAGTGTCTTGGTGTACAGATAACTTGCCAGAAACCTTAATTAATTCAATTTGCTATAAACTTTAAACCTTTGTGGTGTTTCTGAAAAAATCATTGCTTGGCAGGTAATCCGGATCCACTCTCCCATGAGATCCCAGAGAAAAGAGGACTGGTCGAGTGTGCCAAGCCGTGAAATGATAAGCCGAGCTCACGCAGCCGCCTTACGCCTACAAAGGAGCCAACAGACAACTGGTTTGAAAAAGGATGGGTTAGGACAATTCGGTAATTGCAAGGTGTGGGGCGACGCAGACCCTGCAAAAGGACCTGTCTCAGGATCTCCAGACATGAGTGAGATCAGGAAGAAGTCGGACTACAAGAAATGGGAAGTGATGCCGTTTGGGGGCTTAAGGAAAGAAGCGAGGGATCACTATATACAAATGCAAGGCGTGTCACAGTACAAGATGGATGGAAATAAACTGGACGATCTTGTTTGCGTGAGGCATCCGCTAGAATCAGTGTAGAGGTACGTTTTTGAGCTTGCAAAGTAAAGGTTCTTTCATTTCATGGAACATCATAGAAATGTAATGTTTTTTTAAAGCAATATGTGTAATCAATTAGTTCTCCACGTAACTTTTCATTACTAATTTGCTGTATTTGCAGTTTTTGGTGACGTCGTCTCTGTTACATTGATTGTATGTCATACTTTCGAACTTTCGATCCAAAGAGCAGAAAATCAATAGTGATGTTAGATTTTTGACACCAACACCAATGAAATGAACATGGCTAGCACAAAGGCTTTTAATTCATGTGGTCCAGGACCAGAAATTGATTTCTCTTTTTTAAGGTGCTTTATCCGTTATAAATTACTCAATAACGACGTTTTCTTATTTATTTTAAATACCTTTTTGTTATCGCATATCTGAATCTTAATTTGAAATGCAAATCTAATTTTGTATGAGAAATAGAATTATCGAAGGTCGGTCACAAATTGGAATCGACGATGAATGAAAAATTAATAAATCATTCTTTGTTTTTAATATTGGTTTGGAAGGTCTCCAACGGCGAGTCTGCAACAATAAACTAATCACCACAGAATCTGAAAAAAAAAAGCTTCGCCAGGGCCAGGCGGTCTCAAACCTTCTAGTGCAAACACTGGGTGTCGATACTTGAAAAAAATCTGAGAACAAATTTTAGAATTTTATCAAATCGATCCTTTTTATAAACTTAAATTTATACAAGCCTCCCTTTTTCTTTTAGTCATTTTAAATTAGGTTTACGTGAAAGCTCGATCGGACGGACATTGTAAAACACTAAAACGCGCGAAATTTCATAGTCGAAGCTCTATTACACCAAAACATAAACTTTCTTCTTCTTCTCCTCCTCACCAACAATCCTTTTTCCCATCCAAGTTTTTCAGATCCAAAAACCCCAATTTACAAGTTGAAGAACCTCAGAAATTATCTTGAGAGATCATTCTTAAATTGAAGATCATTCTCAGGATATTCTCACCATGCACCGAGTTTTAGACCGTGTGCTTAATCCTATGAAAATATTTAAAATATAAATTTTGCTCGGTTTTTGCTCAACTATATCTAAACTAATGCTAAATTTTTGTAAAATATTATATAAGAAAATTTAATTATGTTTTGATCATATAATATTTCTCTTATTTTTCATTTGGTTGTAAACTATCTTCTTCATCTCTCTCATTGTCTCCGGTGGATCCGACGTCGTCTCCAGCTGCAGCTTCTCCGACGTCGTCTCCAGCTGCTTCCGCTCCGCCAGCTGCTCTCATTCCGATTCCGCCACCGTCTTTTGCTGCTTCTAGTCCGAGTCCGCCACCGTCTCCTGCTTCCAGTCGGCCATCTTCTTTCACCGACTTTCCATCATCTCCTAATTCGGTCCCCACAATTAACAATCATTTTTGTTTTTGATATCCGGAAGATCTCGAACTGCCGACCATAAACTAATCTCCACAGTTTACTTTATACAAACAATATATTTAAAATGTGTTTTTTTGTCAATAAGTTGAACGACTACAATAAAAACCTTAAATCATATAGTTAAGTTGAATTGAATGTACAGAATGAGCGAATATCCAATCACATTCACATGAGTTGGTTGATTATCTATCTTTCATTTTCCTTTTGAGTGTTTTTCTTGGGTACGTTGAGATACTACGTGATTGTTTTATTCACCACGTGATTGCTTTTTCTGTTCTGACTTCTGGCGATACCGTACGAACATCTTTGGGACATAATCGACAAAAAAAACTTAAAAAGGAGAAAGAGAGAGAGATTTTATTATACGGCATCGCTACTATCCAAAGGCACAAATAACTAAAGAAAGATAGCTTATCAACCACCACGTAGTTGATTCTGCGGACTACCACATGACCGTGATCTGTCAAACCGCTGATCACCAGTCGTTAATGGGTCCCCTCTTTAGCCTTTGCATTTGGCTTTGACGCGTCTTCAAAAGACACAACTCCACAACGGCACAAATTATTTGTGGGGACTATCTCATTCTTTTAATAATAAATATATGCTTCTCGATAACATGTCGCAGTTAGGGAACAATGAAAAATTGTCGGGTCTCTTATAAGCCTCTGACAGGTTTCGTAATATGAAATAGTAAAGTTAGGTTAGGTTACATTAACTATTCTTGTGTGTATATATGTATGTTTCTCTCAAAGTTAGTTTTCCTTTTAAAAGATGGCACATTTACTAATTTTTGTATTGAAACCTACCTAACGAGCCATTTGTTAATTAATAATTATCGTAGTATTATATATGTGGTTGTGTGTTCTACTAAAGTACAACTGCGTATTAACATGAGCGTGATTTTGGCAAAAATGTGATTTTAGGGATAAAATATTTCACCGGTGTTTACTTCTAGTGTAAATGAACGTTACTTTGAATTCAATATAAATATATTACTAAATTCAGATTAAACTCTGGATCTAACAATAGAATACCGAGACAACTCAATTGTAAAATCGGTCAATGTAGCGAATATATATTAAACTATTTGTTGCCTGCAGAAAATAAGGGTCTATTCAAAACCCATGATAACACGTAAGAGTCATCGATGAGATATTTATCCACTAAGCTAACCGTACCACATGGGTAGGACCATAGTGTTGTGTTGTCTTCTCCCCTCGTTAGTTTCTACCAAATTTTGTTTTATCTCATTTACATATATCTTTATTTATTATTATTTTCCAAAAAAAAAAAAAAAAAAATCAATTATTGTTTCAATTAAAAAAAGAATGAACAAGTGGGACTACATATATGATATATATCATATAACGATTCCAAATCATCCTCCTTTTATCAAGCGATTACACGTCTTATGCCACCTTGAATTTAAAACGAATTAACATACATCAATAATTCGTTAGTGGATGCATTGCTAGACTCCATGATACGTTTGCATTGCCTTTGTAAACTTTAATTATTAAGATTCAGGAAGTTTTGTTCAGTTTGGATCGCCAACATACATCTCTCGTCTATTCAGTCGTCTCATATTATATTAGCTTAGCCTAACATCGTAGCTAGTCTCTTTTAACAAAAAAAAAAACATCGTAGCTAGTCTCACTCGCTTTTGAACTTATGATCAAATCTAGTTTCCGACTTTCCGTAAGTCATCCATTCAAAACATCGTCTGTATAAATTTTATTTGTTTTGATGTTAACTATTAAAACTGTTTTATGTTGATGATGATGAGTACTACCAATACTAGCCACGCAGTTACATGACATGCGATTTATATAATGCCACAATCGACATGAAGAAGCTTTCTTTGATTTGATATATATTTTTGTTTAGCTATAATAATCGGAGTAAGTAATGTCTTAAGAGTCCCTATGAATTGTTTATGTGCTGATTATGCATGCCAATACGCATGCATATGATGTGAGGTATCACGCAATATGCAACACAAGAAAATATTTATTTCTTTATGGGCTAATTATTTAATTTGTTTTCTTATTTAAATATTGTACGCAGGATCCCTTCATGAGTAAGAATTGTATGCGTTCACATTCATTTCATGATGGACCGACCGAGAAGATTAAACAACAAAAGTCATAGACTAAAACAATGTTTTAAGTGTTAATCAAACTGTAGCATCTTCCACTGACTCGGAAGATTCATCATGAGTCACACGTCAAAACTGAGAGTCTCCTTCAAGAAAGGAATCCACACATGGGTTTGATCCAAGGCATATGCTTACATTGGAATATCTTATGGAGATTGGAATTTTTACCTGAGTTGATATACGAAAGAATATGCTCAAATATATCCTCATTTGATATCAAATCATATTTCGTGTGTACCTTATAGGTTTTAACTTTTAATTTAAAGACTCCATTATATATTCGGGGCAGACAGAGAATACTTTGAATTTTCCTTTTCAACCTAACTTCTGGAAATGTACGAAAAGAAAAAGATATGTAGATTTGAAATGTTTACCGTACATCGTACATCAAAACTAAAAGTATATCTATTTTCTTGGTTTTCTTCTTTTTGTATAACAAGAAAAGTAGGCACCAACTTTTAAAAATCGGTGGAGTCTTCACTAAAAAGTTTGTGGCTTAAACCAAGTCAATAAAATCCTGTAACAAAAAACCAAAGTTAACAAAATCTAGTGAAATGTTGCCATATGTTATTTCTGGAAATGATTTTTAATATTTTTTATTACGGTTATCTTATCAATAGGCTGAGATGATCATCAAATGGAAAAAAATAATCTCTCTCGAAGTTTGGATAAGAATGTATTCAATCGAATAAAGAAAATAGAAACATAAGTTATTTTATTGATAAAGCAAAAAAAGAAAAGAGAGTACAACTCAGCTTTTTACACACCCATAAGGATAAAAAAAAAAACCAAAAAAGGCGGAAAAAGATGGTTATCCTCTACACTAGGGTCTACACTACGACTGACTTTATCAGCAAAAGCCAAAATTCACATAAGGAAATGAAAAAAAAAAAACTCATCGCCAAACTCAGGAAAAAGCCACCTTGGCATCAACCTTCTTTATTCAGCTCCTTTTTTTTATGCGATTTTCCGGAATCTTCTGGGTTGGGCGGAATATACAATGCCCTTCAAAACCCAATTTACAAGCCGACACACTCACTCTCCACCTGTTTGTTAAAAGCCGATAACCACTTGATTTCTGTTTACTACTTTATTCATTCATTCTCTCTCTTTTTGTTATTTTATCCAAAGAGAATCTCTTCAATCCACTTTTTCTCAGATGAATCTTTCCTCTGTTTCTCCTGCTCTCTGAATCCATGGGTGCCCTGCAACAAATTAAATTAAATTTAACAAAATTATTAACTTGGAAAACTCAAATCAACCAACCTTAACGTTTCACTGGATCAAATATGGACTGATGATTCTATAGACACAGATCTGAGTGAAACTTACTGAGAGCTTGTTCGGCTGAGAGTCTCCGAGAAGGATCTTTACAAATCATCTTCCTCAAGAAGTCTTTAGCCAACGATGAAACTCCCCTGAAAAGCTTAGGCGGGAACCTCAGGTTTCCTCGGAGCACAGCTTCGAAAATCTCCTCTGCAGTCTCGCCGTAAAACGGGGGAGCTCCGGCGAGCATAGTGTACAAAACGACGCCCGCGCTCCAAACATCGACCTTCTCGCCGTACGAGTACCCCATCAGAACCTCCGGCGCCACGTAATACGGCGTTCCCACGACGCCTTCGGTGGTGTCGCCCTCGCCCAGCCAAATCCCGGACCCGAAATCGCAGATCTTAACGGAATCGTTGCGCAGATCGACCAAAATGTTCTCCGGCTTGATGTCCCTGTGAACGACGCCGTATCTGTGGCAATGCGAAAGCGCCTGGAGAATCTGTTTGGCGAAAACCGCCGCCTGGGACTCGGAGAAAGTGCCGGAGGAGATGAGAGTGTCGTAGATCGAGACGGAGGGATCGACGAGCTCCATGTAGATGGAGAGAGTGGAATCAGTGTCGATGAGATCGTGGATTTGGACGATGTTTGGGTGGTTTCCGAGGAGAGCCATGAGCTTGGGCTCGTTGTCGATGCAGGCGCGGTCGAGAGCATCGGTGAGGGAGCTCTTGTCGATGGTTTTGCAGGCGAAGAAATCACCGGTGGCCGGAGCGTAGACGCGAGAGACGGTGCCGAAGCGTCCACGGCCAATCTCCTCGCAGATCTGGTACTTGTTGGTGTTGTTGTTTCCGAGTGTTTGGCTGCAATTCATATTCTCTCTCTCTCTTTTTTTTTTGTTGTGTGTAAAATGTGTTAAGAGGAGCCCTCAAGTCGGCTGTACTATTTTATAGCCAAAATTCCTTGGAATATTCGGTTTGATCCTATACGTTCGTTTTCCGTTAACGTTATATTTTCTTTTTCTTTTTCTCTGAATAAGTATATTTGTAAATGACATCAAACAAAATCCATATATTATCCAAGATTAAATTTATATTAAGGAGTAATTAAGGACATAACTTTATTATATACTTATTTGCAAACTTAAAAAATGGTTTATATGATTATATAACCATATAAACAATTGTTGACAAAACAAAAAAAACCATATAAACAATTTTAGTTTTGTTAACATTTTTCTATGAAATCTTGCTTCATTTATTTTCTAACAGTCCTTAATAGTGTAGTACCTACATTTACGTTATTACGAAAATGTATGCGTTGACCCGAAACAAAAACTTCGAGCTAATTCCATTTATGTTTCCAACTATGGATACTGTTTATTTATGGTATACATGTACAACTGAATGTGGCTTTGTAAAAGTTTTCTAGGATTTGCTAAATGAGAACTATACTCCTATTTTATAAGCATTTAGGAACTCACTGCAGGCATACAACTGCGACTACATAAAACGAGTTACAAGGACAAATCCATAAGTATTCAAATTATAAAATACACCATTTACAAATCAAATTATAAAGTACGCCATTTAAAAACATGAAGCAAAGAGAGATTTTAGTTGGAGTAAACCAGAATGTAGAGAATCATCATTTTGTTGAACAAATGAGAAATGAACATGTAGAAAGTATGAAATTCTTGTCCTCTCTTGAAATAAAACAAATGAATTTCATTTCAGGACATCTGTTTGGATGTGGTGGCAGAGATCGTAATCAAAATCCCTTTGTTCGTCGAAAACAAGAACAAGTAAAGCAAACTAACAAAACTGAATTCTCAGACGCGTTCGAATACCACCCACAACAAATCACACGTAAACTAAACTTGCAAGTTTTATATATTTTGTAGTGACCCACTCTTTCCAAGGTTGCTTTTGTTCCATGTCTGTCTGAACTCCAAAAAGTCATATCTTTTCTTCTTTCGTTTTAACAACCATTTGCTATAGTTCCTAATCTCTCTTCTCTCTTTAAAAAGAGGATTAAATAAGAAAAGTGGATCTATTAGAAATAAACACAATAATGTACAAGAAGTGGGACACCTTCACACTCGTTTCACTGGAATCTGAGCAAGCAAAGTAAATAGTACAAAATCCTCAAACGCATCAAAAGACTACCCAAAAAAAATTGTAATGAATAAGCAGAAGGTAAGCGAGGTGACCAAATACGTTCACGATGGGACTCGAACCCATAATCTCCCGCTCCGGAGGCGAGCGCCTTATCCATTAGGCCACGCGAACTTACTGGTTGCTCTGCATTTTTAAACTTTATATAAGATAATGTTAATTCCCCGAACTTCACCGAACTTTCTCACTTGTTTATTTTGCTTCTGTGACCTACTGGCTCTTGCCACGGCTCTCGCGATATCATCTACTTCTGTGCCTTCCCTCCTCCATCGAGCCATGGCTTTCGCAATTTCCAACGCGTTTCGTTACCCTCACCCTCAAATCCGTGATAGGAGCTCTCATCTTGCTCTTCGAACTACCAAGTCGCCTTCATTTGTCAGGTACTTTCTTCGGTGACTTTTCAATTCCAAGGAACAATCATTTTGCTACTTCTTCCGTTTCTTTAGCGATTCGTTCAATTGTACAACTTGCTTAGTATCATGATTCAGCAGCAAAAACGTCTGTTTTGTTGATTTTTATGAACTCCAGTGAAAATCCCTTATCCTGTCACTCGTAAAGCATTTGTCAATTAAATTCCGAGCTTCATTACAGTTAGCTACAAAGTTTATAACTTTCAATTGCATTTTCCATTGTTGAGCTCAATTCCGTTTCAGACCATTTCTTATTGTAACGAAGATGTTTGAGTTTTTCAGGCTTCTCCCTGGAAGGGTGTCTCAGAGCAGGATTTCGATACGCGCTGCTTCGTCTGCGGCTGGAAATCCACAGTCCGATGGTGACTTTAACCCATATGAGGTGATTGAGCTAGAAAAGGACTTGTTTTGCTTGTCATTTGTATTATTCTACACTCCTAAAGACATGAGTGCACACCTTCTCAGGTTCTTGGTGTTAACCCTATAGAGGGATTTGACAAGATCAAGCAAACTTATGGAAGAAAACTGAAAGAAGCTCAGAGGAGTGGTGATGAAACCACTGCTGCTCTAGTAGGTTACCTCTCTCTTTCCTTGGAGTCCTGTAAGTTATGATTTTTCTGTTTGGTTTCTTGCTAACACGTCTCTGCTTTACCTTATGATAGCTTGAGAAAGCATATGATAAGCTCATGTATTCCCAGCTAATGGATAGGAAAAAGGGTGTCACTTTTGGTTCGTTTAAGGTTTGTATCGTGTCCTCTTTCTTTTCATATGCCGTCCTGGACTCTATGGAGTTTCGTTCTTAATCTTTGGGGAATTTCTCATAATTTCAGGTTTCCAAGGACATTAAATATGCTGACAAGCAGCCCTTAATACCATGGGGTCCAAGGTAAAGATTCTACTCAAACTATATATTCTCATCCTTCAAAATCATGTTGTAAAATGATTTATTGACCCATCTTGTTACAGATATTCCAGGTCCTCAAAGAATGATATGTTGATCAACCTAGCGATATCAGCTGTGTTTGTAAGTACTTTAGAAGAATGTTGCTTTGAGGATTATGTTTCTCCTTTCAGACTTAGACTTGACTTTGTTTTTGTTTTTAACATCTAATACCCTCTATGAATTCAAGACATCATGCTTCAGCTTAAATGACTGGTCTCTTGCTGAAAAAATTACTCGCTTCTCACACATATGCATGTATGACTTCGCAAATATTTGAATCGCACAATCATATATGAATCTTTCTCTCTTTTTGCAGAGTGCATGGATTGCCATTAAACGTAACGTTGAATACAAACCGCTGCAGTTCATGTCGTTTGTATTTGTCTACAGAATGTTTGACAAATTAAAATCATTTGAAGCACCATCATCTCCAACATATAACGTGAGTTTTGATTTTTTTTCAAGAAGCATTATGCACCTTTGTTGGTACATCTGGTGGCTTTTCTAGTCCTGATGAGCAATGATGTTGAAACTGGCTGCAGGAGGAAGGCGAAGATAATGGACGGGGATTGAGAATGGGAAAGAGGCTTCTTCGCTCTCTTTCCTTAGTTTTCGGCTCTATCCTTGTGGCATCTTTGGTATGTAAATCTATCAAAACACTTTTTTTTTCATCCTTCTGATTCTAACATATAGTTATTAGCTAACTCAAAGTTACTTTTACTTGATTATTATTTATGTTAAACTCTTTGTGAATCGTTCTTTGCAGGCCTATACCGGGGTCTTGAATGGCATTGAGTACATGGGTAACTCCATACCCATGGCTCTTTACAATAACCAGGTTAGTGTTCTTGCCTAACCCAATCTCTCTTCACTTGAAACCTTCCCTTAAGTTAGTCCCACTGAAAATGATAATTTTGGTCAAAATGTGGTTTAGGACTAGGTCAGTTGTTGCTTAAGCCTCAACGAACAGAACTAGTTGATTAGATTGTAGATATGATTGTGCCGATTATCTGTAATATAATCGACTTGTCACATCTATCCATAGGTATTATGGTCTGTGTACTTTCACTGAAATGAAAACTAAACTATGAGAACTCTTAAGTATGATAGGCTTTGCTATAATCACTGAAGGGTCTGCTCTCTAAATTAAATATCAGTGAGACTTTTGTTATTGGAACAAGAACTGAATTAACAATGTTTGATATTGGGTTGCAGGAGCTTATAGTGACGGCCTCATCTGCTTTGATGCTCTATGTTATGGCGTCGTTTTACAGATGATCCGAGAGAGCCCATCGATCAGAAGGTTTTTGGAGAAGTTTTTGCTGTATAGCCTGTGGCTGTGAGATGTAACCAGTTGAGAAGAAATGTTGCTTTCTAGGGAGAGATGGGATTTATCTTTATGATGTTTTGTGGGATGTCAAGTGAATTTAGCAACAGAGAAAATCCCTTTATGATGTTTTGTATTCTTCAGATAAATCTGTCTCACTTCAAACAAATTAAAATTAGGGAATAATAATGAAGGTGTTGGGCCTTTTTTTCCTAAAGTCCAGTTCGCTGTTCGTACGCAGGTCTTCTTCTTTCTTGTTGATGGGCTCCAAATAATTTGCCGAAGATCTATAGAAGATGTCGATTTAAGCTAGAAAAATTATGTAGTAGCTCAACACTATTACAGCATGTAGATCTTTAACACTACTTATCAAACTTGTTCAGTGACAAGGGTTCCGAATTTAAATGAAAATACAAAATTGTTAAAATAGATAGCTTCTTGCTGAAAAGCTTCGTCTTAAAAGTTAAAAATGTCTTATACACGAGGTCGGATTGGTTCGGTTAGAAAAAGTGTCAGGCGGCTAGACTGATATCGGTCGTCGTCGAACTTCAGTTTCGACTTTCCACGATTATTAGAAAACAAAAAAAGTTAGGTGAATCCGATAGAAAGGAGAGAAACATGAAATATAAATTCTCGTAATTTGGTATCTTCACGCCAATAACGTTTTTATAATTTTTAGTTAGTTTAGAATCTTTAGACAGAGAAAGCTGGAAAATAAAGTGAAGGCGATAGAGAGAGACCCCACGATATGAACGAGTAGAAATAACACGTAGGAGCTGACTCTGTCTCTCTATCTCACTCACATCTCTATAAATAGAGAGACACGACATGAAGGGTACGTAGTTACAGCTGCTCCACACTCTCCTTTGAAAAGTAAAGAGAAGTAAAGAGATCTCTATCTATCTACTTATCTAGTGGGTGAGAGATCCTTTGAGTTCCGTCTTCTACTTCCATCGCCTTTCTTGCTACTATAGTGGTACTTTCCCTTTTCTTTTCCTTTTTCTCATTTTTCATCCTCTTCTATAAATAGTTTTGCTTATTTCTCTCGAATTAATGACATAACAAGATTTGTAGATAACGTATACCTTACCTGATGCTTTCAATTATAGTGTTCTCTATATTTGTTGGTATTGGCATGAAATTATAGTTGGTAATATATTAATATCATTGACTAATTTTATAGTAACAATATATTCAATGTTTTACTACATATGTTATTCAACAAAAGAGTATATATTTTACCAAAAAGAGAGAGTATATAATATGCATTCAGTCATTGTATATGGATTTTTGGTGGATCTGAGTTAGAGGTCACCATTAGTTACTTATACGAAGGTATGTTTTCGTTATATATCTCAATCTGTAATATATGTTTATATTGATGATTTCTAACATGATTATGTGTGTTTATATATTGTCACTGCGAAATCATGTTTGTCTTTTCGTGTGTGTGCATCTCTGTCTATTTGATCCAACATATTCTTATATCTCAAGTACGTTATAGATTTCTGACTGTCCAAAAACATATATATGGTCATATAATTAACAAATTTCACGGTCAAAGGTCATTTTTTTAATTGGAAATTGATATTGAATTGAATGTGAACAACACTGTAATTTTAATTCATCGATACGTCCGAGGATAATAAGAAGACGACAACTATCTCGTGAATGACTTTTGCCTTGGACACGTATGTACGTGACGTAGAACACAAGTTCATCCTTTTCTCGTGAATGTTACTTTGTTTATACTGTATTTAATTTTCAGTTTTGGTAGTAAGACCAAATAAATTTTTGTCGTTTGCTATATTTAGTTTCTTCATTATTCGTCGGTTTCTTCTTTCTAAGTTTCAATGCCAACGGTTGCTGATTCCTATGGCTCTCATGGTAGCCAAATGGTAACTTTGGCCTGATCGTATGTATCAAATCCACGTATGGCTCTCTGCTCAACTAATTTATTACCAGCTTGTTGCTTCTCTTTCCCAAATAAAATATAAAGACTGCTTAAAGAAATAATCTTTTTTTTTGTGTGCAACATTTTAAGGAAGAATCTATATGCAATTATTCATTGACAAAGATCTTCCAATCTCTCACACCCACTCGAAATTCCTCTAATGACTTAGCAGATTCCGTGTTTGTATCTTTCTCTTTTGTTATTTAATCCTTCTTTTCTCTGCCATTTCTAAGGAGCATCCAAATCTGAAACTCTTTCTTAATTAGCTTCACTGTCCATGTTTTTATCGTTATAATTGCTATTGATTATAATTTAATTTGTTGTCAGGCCAGAACAAGCTCATTTGAGAAACTTCAAATTGGAATCAGAAACAAGAGCATCCTTCTTCATTTACACAGGTACTCCTCAAGGACTGACAATAAATTAAATGTTTTTTTTTGTTTGGAGAAAGAGTACTCACGTTGGGAAATTTTTTTCCTTATAATTAAGAAGGAATTCTCCTCATCCTTTATTATTTTTTTTTTTGTAATATTTAAGAAACAGTAATTTGTGAGATTCGTACGAACGTTTAATTTGCAATTTAGTAGGAAAGTTTTTGTGCTGTCCCCAAGACTAGTTCAATTCAAAGAAGGAATCTTAAGGTTCTTCTTTCTGACGTCAAACTGTTGAAACACATTCTTTAGAGATATATCGTAGAAAAAAAGTGAGAGACATTTTTAATTCTAAGATTTATGAGGTAGCTCTCTTTTTTCATAGTCAGGTGATTTTAGATCGGAGCTCAGACTAATTCCAAAGCTTATAAAAAATGACTTTTCTACTTAAAGTGTTTGATGTGATACCTTATCTAACACGTTAGGGTAAAAATTGGTTTTTGTTTATATAAATATTTTGTTTCTCCTTTTTTCTTTTTTCTTTTCTGATTACGTTTCATAGTCTCATTCGGATTGATGTTCAAACTAACTGTGGCTATTCTTATCGTTACAAAGAAGGCTCTAAAACAGAGCTTTTCAGAAGAGTATTCTACAAACTTTGTATTGATCTATCGGTTTTCTAACCAAAAGAAGAAAACAACGTGTTATAGGGGATAAAGATGGTGATGAAAAGTGTGGATTTACGCTCAGACACGGTTACTAAACCGACCGATGCGATGCGGGAAGCAATGTGTAATGCAGAGGTGGACGATGACGTCCTCGGCTACGACCCAACGGCTCGACGTCTTGAAGAGGAGATGGCTAAGATGATGGGGAAAGAAGCGGCTCTGTTCGTGCCATCTGGTACAATGGGGAACCTGATAAGCGTGATGGCTCACTGCGACGTGAGAGGCAGCGAAGTGATTCTTGGCGACAACTGTCACATCCATGTTTACGAGAACGGAGGGATATCAACAATCGGTGGAGTGCATCCCAAGACTGTCAAGAATGAAGAAGACGGGACCATGGACTTGGCTGCCATTGAAGCAGCCATTAGAGATCCTAAAGGAAGCACGTTTTATCCATCGACAAGGCTGATTTGTCTGGAGAACACACACGCCAAGTAAGTTTCGCTTCTCCTTAAACGTAAACCGTTACATATTGTCTCTTATGAGGATTTGGTATGCAGCTCTGGCGGGAGATGTTTGAGCGTTGAATACACAGAGAGAGTTGGAGAGATTGCCAAGAGACATGGTTTGAAGCTTCATATCGATGGAGCTCGGATTTTCAATGCTTCCGTCGTAATTATCTATCATCTCTACTACTCTTCCCATTTATATAATCCACGAGACATAAATATTTTATGAAGTTTCTTTGTTTTTGTAGGCACTTGGAGTTCCAGTACATAGGCTTGTAAAGGCTGCTGACTCTGTTTCGGTGTGTCTCTCAAAAGGTCTTGGAGCTCCGATAGGATCTGTGGTCGTTGGTTCGCTGAGTTTCATAGAGAAAGCCAAGATATTAAGGAAAACATTGGGTGGTGGAATGAGACAAATAGGGATTCTGTGCGCAGCCTCTTTGGTCGCACTCCAAGAGAACCTTCCAAAGCTACAACTTGACCACAAGAAGGCTAAAATGTTAGCTGGTACGTACGCACCACTCATTTAGTTACCCTAATCATAATTAACCGCAAAAATAAAACTCAAATAATGTAAAAACTTGCAGAAGGGTTGAATCAAGTGAAAGGGATCAGAGTAAACGTTGCAGCCGTGGAGACCAACATGGTGCGTAACATTGTCACAACTCACAAAGTGTTGTTATCTATACAAAAATACTATTTGCTTAATAAGTTATGTCTGTAATTAATTCAGATATTCATCGATATGGAGGATGGTTCAAAACTTACCGCTGAGAAACTGCGCAAGAGTCTAGCCGAGTTTGGCATTCTCGTCATCCCGGAAAACTCATCCCGGTATGTCTTATTGTCTTGCAACAATAACATTCGTATGTTTTTTCTTTATAATTTTGAGTCTTGAGTCAACTAACTACGTATTAATGTGGAATATAATGGTGGTCTCAGGATCAGAATGGTGATACACCACCAGATAACAGCAAGCGATGTGCATTACACATTGTCTTGCTTACAAGTAAGATTATATTCATATTTCTCTCACTTACCTACTTTCTAACGGTGCAACATCTCATTAACAAAACTTGTTTTCTTTTGCAGCAAGCAGTGCAAACGGTAGAGGAACCAACCCGAATCTAATTTGGCCAAACCGAAATGCTTCTTTTTTCTTTTATGTGTGTTGTCAATGTCAACATGGATCGCCTTTAGATATTTGTATTGTCTCAAGTGATTTCTTATTAAAACTGTAAGGATCTCAATGAAATTTTCACCCTCATTCCTCTGTTTTATTAGTGTTCTAAATTTTGATTATTACAACTTGTACATAGCCCATGAACGGAGAGACTGAGAGGTATAAACTAGAAACTGAACACAAATTCCGATACTTTAAGTGTGAGACGAAAGGGATTAAGATTTAAGAGGACTTTCATGTTTATAATCTAATGTTCTTAAATCCATTTTCATTGGACTTTCAAAACAGATGTCACACATGATTGATGATCCTTTTAGTCTGCCTAGTAACCAAAACTAATGCTTTGAAGAACCCTAATATCTTCTTTCTTTCTGTCTTTCTTTTTGTTTTGAGACAGAAGAAGAAACAGGGACTTAGTTATATAATTATATATCCTTCCTCTGTAAGGGTGTCCAAAAAGAATGAGCAGAGAGCCTCATCAACCTCTGTATGTACACACTAAAATCAGTCCCCTTCCTTGGGAATCAAATCAGCTGCGCTTCTGGATCTCTTCCTTCACAAGTTCGTTCACCAAATCTGTGTTAGACTCCCTTAAAACCTGTTCAAGTGAGCTTAGTTCCTCCATGTTAGCTTTCTTCAGCAGAACTTTGAGTGCGGATTTCGTTCCAGCAGGCAGTAGATGGTGTCCGGGAGCTTTCTGGAGAGCCAATGGTCTGACGCTTGTGCTGGCTTCTCTGGGAAGAGGATTTGCAGGGAACTGAACTTGTGGCCGCGAATAAGGCCTGGTATCCCAATACTCTGTGCAAACTCGACTCACGTCTAATGCCTCGATAGCCTGTTTTTTCACATAAGAGTATCATTTATGTGTCAGCTTTGATTTACAAAGAGCATATAAATCTCAAAGCTTGTAAAGATTTACCTGTACAATTGCGGGTGATGAATATCCAAACATTTCGAAACCGTCGGGACTCCCAGAGGGCTGCAAAGGAGGAAGATCTGATTTTCCGGCTTTGTGCTGCTTACTTATCTCCTGGTTTACTCTATCTTTTACCATCTCCCAGCATCTTGTAGGCGACAAGTGAACAAACACCTCACTGGGATTACCTTCCAAGTAAACCTGACAAGTAGAACATACCAAACAGTTTGTTGATGAGAAAGATTTTCCTGAGCTGCACATTGTGGCACAATGACCAGAATCAACTTACCATGAACAACGGACTGTTGCGTTCAGCATCCAGAATCTCTGATATGTAGAAGCACATGTTTGTTGGATCCAATATATTTAGGTACCTAACCCGGCTACGAAATCCTGCACCAAAGAAGAAAAAATTAAGCACTTGCAGAAGACATATATCTGTTTTTGTTCTCAAGTTGCAAAAATACTTGACCACATGTCACCTTTAGTAAAAATTGCTCGGCGGTTGCACCATGATTTTCCAGAAAGCACACATCCATAACTTAAAGGCTCTACATTGCAATTGATTCTCCTCACGACCTTTGCAATACGGGGACCCTTTTGGCGGATGAACCTATCCGGGCTGTTATTTTGCGAACAAGAAGGTGTACCTGAATTACTTCTTGTCCCATCAACTACATCCAATACAGCCAAACCTCCAGAGCTTTTGGATTTACAGCTAGTAGCTTTTCCACCACCGTGGTTGTTAGTGTCCATTCTGTTACATATATCCTGAGCAACCCCATCAGCCTCGCCATTAACATCCGCATGCAATGCAGAACTCGACACATTCCCTCCCATTGCTCTTTGGTCATTAGTAGGAAATGATATAGCCTTTTGTGTATCTGGTAAAGAGTCTCCTTCCCTTTGACGAATTGGAGCAGCAATTTTACCAGGAGCTTCTAACGCTAAAACATGGGTCGGTCTCTCTCGTAGTTCCAAATGCTTCCCAGAAGAAACTGCATCTCTTCTCACAGGACCTCGCTTCTTAGGTGTGTCATGCTCGTCGTCACTAAGGAGTATCACATCATTGGGTAGACTCTGTGAATCCTTTTTACCACTTGCCGACTTAGCAGCTGTCACAGAAACCATGCCTCCTCCTTTAGATGGTTGGTAAACTGAAACTTTTGGAACAGAGGAATCAACAGTTTCTTCTTGGTCAGGCTTCATACAGTGGCTTAATGTTAACTGCTGCTCCTTGTCTTTCAGAAGTAAATTAGCATATGATAATTTACTCTTCTTTTCTAACCCTTTACTTAGATCTTCTCTCAGCTGCAAATCTTTTTCTAAAACTGCAGCTGCTTGTGGACTCAGGTCCGTGTGCACTTTTTCTTCCTCATCTATCTCCATCTTGCTTTCTGAGACGTGTGCAGTTAATGCCAATCCCAAATCTTGACGGGCCCATCTATATACAGAGCTAAGTTTTCCTTCCACTGCCTCAACAAGAACATTCAGTTCATCGATATCATAGCGAAACAGGAAATATTTAGAAACCCATGAGCATGAACACAACTGCTTCACATGAGTCAAACATGAATACTTCTCTGGAGAACAACGGCAACCAGCAGCGGACAGGTGCAAATCAAAGAAGCATATACAACACTCTCTCTCGTTAGTAGCATCGAAATTACTGTGCATCTTCAATGCAAGTGACGAGTTGCACAAAAATTCTCTTCTTGTACGTTCCATGTCAACACGTGCCTATATAAAAAAACAGAACAAAGTCACTTGATCACCATATTGAACTAATCAATTGTTATAAATACAAAACTTCACGAAACAAGAGAAAGGATATCTATACCTTGAGTGTTCTAGCCAAAATTCCATCTTTTCCACTGAATTCTTTCCACCTTAAGTTATCTGCGGTATTTTTCTTTAGTAAGTTCAGCTCCCAGTCGGCTTTCACTACTTCTCTTGCTGCCCCAAGCAACAATTTATCATGGGAGATGGACGTTTTTCTACCCTGTTGACAGTATAACTCTATGGCAATCTGCCCATGAGGTAACCAGTCAACTGGTGCTACATTCACAGCTTCAGCGCAGTTGAAACCAGAATTAAACCCAGCATGATATGCCCGAGGAAAAGTCAAGACAAACTCTCCAGCATGCTGGACACAACGGTGCACAGGTACTCCTGCGGTTTTCAGTTTTGACGGGGAGAGTTGTGTAACCTACAGAACAGAGCATCAAATGAATCTTTTTTTATGTAACCATACCGAAACAATGATGTGTAACAAATGTATTAAATCTTGTGCAAGTTGATGGAGGACAAAAAATGGATCTATAGAAGTTCCTACAGGGTTATTAACTACAAAATGCAGCCACATAATATGGTATTTTCTGTCATATCCTAATTTGGCAGTTCAATAAAAACATTACCAGAAAAATTTCAATATTGCCTGATTGCCTGAAGTTTTTAAAATAAAAAAAATGTACAATGGAAGACATCCATCTGAGATTATTGAGCAGCAAATCTATGATACCGTTCATCAAATATCTAACACTTACTAGCTTATGAAGCAAATCAGGCTGTTCTTCAAAAAGGTCAGGCAAATGCTTTCTCATGGCCTCCTCGAGTTTAACAGCATCCTTCCCCGCAACACCATACCACAATTTTGGTGCACCCCAGTGCAAATAATTCATCGAATACAAGTGGTGATCTTCTACATGCTGTTTCGGGGAAACAAAAACAAAAGCAGAAACAAAAGTAATGTCAGCACCAAAACAGATGATCAAGTATCCTCAACCTTCCGTTTTAGGAAATTCAATAAAAGATAATCCAACTAAGGATATGCCTTAACACGCAAAACACAATTATGCAACTCGCAGAGATCAATCTTACCCAACAGAAAGAAGAAAAGCACATCCCAATATACAGCCACGGTATCAGGACACCAGAAATATCACTGCCCTCGTACGAAAGAAGGGATCCCGGAAGCCTTGAAAAGTTATTTAAGTTCCATCCTGATTTTGCATATTTTTCGTTTGACGAAGAAGCCTCGTGGCTTGATGATAACTTGGGAAATCCGCTACCAAATACCCCAGTTTCAAGATCGGCACCATATAGCACCTACGTTAAAGAATCAAAGCGTAAGTTAAAAGATACAGAGGTCCTGAAACAGCATAAAACCCCAAATGAAAAAAAGGAAGAACAACAGGGAACAAAACTTCACCTCAATCTCTTCAGTTGCTTTATCTACAATCCGCCAATATTCACCTTCAACATCCTCAACTGCTGGCTCCCAGAAGTCCATGGAACTACCTACTTTGCATTCATTGTCTGTAGAAGTTTCACTCTTCTTAAAGTACTGAGCCTTGAAGTCATCAGCATATTTTTTGAAGTCTTTTAGAGTGAACCCTGGACCAGGTTCAAACCCAAACGTCTCAAGTTCACTCATTTCGGTGCCTACAGGACTGCCATTAGTGCCCGAATCCATTCCCATTTTCATGCACTTTCTTTTCTTCCTTCTCATTTGACTAGAAACCTTAGACATCTTCTTCATCGAACTCCGATTCTGAAGCTTATCAACTCTCTGAACACGAGTCGTAAATTTAGTTTCCTCCCATACTTGCTTCTCTTTCAGCGGGCACGGAGGTTTCCAGGAAGGAGGAGGAACAATGCGACAGATTCCATACTTTTCAGCCGTCGGTCTTATTTTAGCAATATAATTCAGAGTGTCTTTAAACTCCTAGAGAAAAAGGTTTGCAGTTTATGTCAGAGAAAATGGATCCATCCATCAGTTGAAAAAGGTTTGCAAGTATAGACTGTGAACAAGACAGACCTCTTCGCTTGGGTAGAATACAGGGGCGTCTTCAATGTCAGGCCTACGAGCTTCTTCCGGATGCCATCTCGCAGTTACCTTCTGGCAGTCTTTACATTCTGCGCCCGTTGGTAGAGAAGGCTTCACCACAGAATTCTGCAACGAAGCCAATGCATGAGAAAAGGCGAAAGAGACACAAGATGTTAAGGCATTAATGAAAAAAGCAAAACTTCAGAACGAACTTGATCAAGATTTTGAGATATGGCATTGTCAATGTTTGCACCATCGTCATCATAATTGATCCAAGGTCTACGCCGTAGAGAGCGAGCAGCTTTAGCGTCATCAGATTCAATTTCCATCTTAGCTTGTTCAGTTATAGAAACACTTTCAGTAGCATTCTTGGTTTTATCACCACCAGGGACTACTCTTTTTAAGGTGAAAGTTGCATATGACTCAAACCCAGGAGGCACTGATGGCAAATCGTCACTTTCGTCTTTCACACAGATCCTCATTAGTTCTGTGCCCATTGCTTCTGTGCCAACAAAATATAATTCAAGGATCATCATCCCTCAAGAACATCACACCCAAAATTTAAAATAAAATATAAATAGTTACATACCAATATACATAAAGTTCAATAGCTAAAATTATCTCAATCAAAACCCATAGAAGAGGAGGAAAATGCTTACATAGTCTTTGTCTTGAATTGAATTTAGGGTTTTCTTGAATTGGATGGTCAAAACAGCTGGAGCTCCTTCAACTGCACCCAGATTCATGAAATCCAAACTCAGAATCAATTTAAAGAAAAATCAGCAAGAGGATTTTAAGATCTGAGAAACCCTAATCAGTGGAAAAAAAAAATTGCAATTTTTATCTAATCCCAGATTCATCAGATCTAAGCGTAACTTGGACACTAGATTCAGATTATTACGAAATTGATGAAGAATCATCGCATGTCCTTTTCCATATTTGCATAACAAAAGTATAGAACCTTCAAAGGTACAGCCACAAAAGTCCAAATATGAAACCAAACCTTTTCCATATTCCCAGCCAAAAAAAGAAGCAAATAAAAATTCCAGGAAGGAGGAGGAAGAAAAGGGCAGAATTGGAATTAAATCCACAGGTCCATGTTGGTATTTGCGATATTTAGTCTTTGAAGAAACAATAAGAACAGCAACAAATACATAAACAAGGAAAAAGATAAACATTTTTCACTGGTTGATAGTTTAACTTATAATATCACCTTTTCTTTTTTTTTCAATAAGATTTAAAGATCATATGAGAGGAAACATGTGGCTTGCTGGCTTTGATAAATTTTCTGGGTTTCTTTCTTAGCTTTTTTGCTCTCTGGATGAGTCTGAGTTGTGAGATGATTGTCTTCTTATAAGTTATAACGCTTCAAAAGCAAGCAGATGCAATTTCCTATGCAACTACTCTGTATTTCGTTTCAACCATCCAAGGGTAACCAGATAAATAAAATATTAAAGCAATTAACTATTTCATTAAGATCTTTTAATTGTACCATTAAAATATTTCGTTTGTCACTTATTGTGGTCATAACGCCCAACACCTTTAATCACGGGTGGACATTACCATATATCCACACAACATTTTAAGACATAAATTTTACTAATCTTTTGCTAGCTAAGATTCTGTATAGATACTGTACTATATTAAGATTGCACAAACACAGATAATTTTGATTTGAAAATAGTAATCATGTTCTTATGGAATAAAATCTTACAAAAATAAGTATGTGATAGACTGATAGTCTCCAAAATAATCTTAAAACACTATTAATGATGTTGAGTAAACCAACGAAAAGCATTTCATACTTATTATAATTCAGATTTAATCATGTATTGGTGTACCTAAATATGATTAAGAAATTAAAATCAAACTTAAAACCTGATAGCTTAATGTTGGATGTTTCATAAGTGGTGGGAATAAATGAAAAATGTAGAAGAGATAAAGGGTCTACTCTGAACAAAAAGAGATAAAAGGGTCTATTTTGTAAATTAAGGATAAACCCTACTTATCATTATCAAACCAAACCCCCTTCGAAGCCTAAAGGCAAAAACCCGCAATCTCCAGCAAAATCGAAGAACCAACGGTGAGTTTCTCCTTTACACTCATTTCTCCAGATTTCTTAACAAATTTCTCTGAAGATTCCTGCTCAATCTTATCCGCTATTTGAGCATTTCCCGCTTCTTTTTTTCTTCGAATCTGTTTTTCCTCCTCTGTCTCTTAAACTTCTTCCTTTCTTCTGGTTTTGGATTTCACAGGTTTCATTTTTCAACTCAAGATTAGATTGTGAAGATAAGCATTGAACTTCATCCATCACTGAGCTTAATCAGCTTTCGTAAAAGGAAGTATCTCTATAGTTATATCTGAATTCTGATTCTGAGAAATGGCTTCATCAAATTTGCTACTTGAAGCTCAAGTCTTTCATCTTCCCAATTTGTCTCCAAAGCAGGCGAATCTCTGTTGTGGAGTCCGTTTGATAAACCCTCGGTCTTGGTGGAAATTGTCTTGTTTAGTTTTGAAGCAAGAAATTGGGCTGCAAAGGAATGTTTCTGTGAAATGCCGCAGCTTGCAGAGCAATGTGTGCATTGACAATGTCCATGTAGATGATCATGCGGAGAGAAGCTCAGAGTTTCATCACTATGGCGCAGCTAACGACTTCACAGCCAAAGTGAAACAGAGGAAGTATGTTATAGGCTCTTCGGTGTTATCATCTGACGGACCAATCACCGAGAACGACCAAGAGACAAACAATGAGCTCCTTGACAACCTCTGCAGCTACGGGAAGCTTACTGATGCGTGCAAGCTTGTCGAAGTAATGGCACGTCATAACCAGGTTCCTCATTTCCCTTCTTGCAGAAACTTGGTCCGTGGTCTAGCCAACATCGATCTAATGGATAAAGCGATGAACATCTTGAGAATCATGGTCATGTCTGGTGGAGTTGCAGATACTATCACCTACAACATGCTCATCGGAAATCTTTGCAAGAAAGGGAATTTAGAATCTGCCTTGAACCTCTTACAAGACATGAGCTTGAGTGGGAGCCCTCCAGATGTGATCACGTACAACACAGTGATTCGATGTATGTTCGATAATGGGAATGCAGAGCAAGCCGTTGCGTTTTGGAAGGATCAGCTACGGAATGGTTGCCCTCCGTATATGATTACATACACGGTTTTGGTCGAGCTCGTGTGCAGGTACTGTGGAAGCACTCGAGCTATGGAGGTTTTGGAAGACTTGGCGGTGGAAGGTTGTTATCCTGATATCGTCACGTATAACTCTCTGGTCAACTATAACTGCAGGCGAGGGAATTTGGAGGAGGTGGCTTTGGTGATTCAGCATATTGTATCTCATGGATTGGAACTCAACACTGTGACATACAACACTCTTCTACACTCTCTTTGCTCTCACGGGTATTGGGATGAAGTGGACGAGATTCTCAACATCATGTACCAGACATCGTACTCTCCTACAGTTATTACTTACAACATTTTGATCAACGGTTTGTGCAAGGCGAGGCTTTTGAGCCGTGCGATCGATTTCTTCTACCAAATGCTGGAGCAAAAGTGCTCGCCTGATATTGTCACTTACAACACAGTTTTAGGAGCCATGTCTAAAGAGGGAATGGTGAATGGTGCGATAGAGTTACTTGGATTGCTGAGAGACACGAGTTGTTCGCCGGGGTTGATCACTTACAACTCTGTGATCGATGGTTTGGCGAGAAAGGGTCTGATGGAGAGAGCATTGGAGCTGTACCGTCAGATGCTGGAGGCTGGAATCTCTCCTGATGATATAACACGGAGATCTTTGATATATGGTTTCTGCCGAGCAAACCTGGTTGAAGAAGCGGGTCAAGTTTTGAAAGAGACGAGCAATAGAAGGAATGGGATCAGAGGTAGCACTTACAGGTTGGTGATCCAAGGGCTGTGCAAGAAGAAAGAGATGGAAATGGCGTTGCAGGTTGTTGAGATAATGCTAACCAGTGGGTGTAGGCCAGATGAGACCATATATAAGGCGATATTTAAAGGTGTGGAAGAGATGGGAATGGGAGATGAGGCTCATGAATTGCAGAAGAAGCTCAAGCAGTGGAAACTGTTGAGAGAAATTTAGGAAACTTTGTTGAAAGCCTTCATTTTGTTGCTTCTTTTTTTTTCTTTGGCCAGTTGTACAGAAAAACAGTTTTGTGAGTCGGCAATGGTTAAATTAGACAAGCTTAGAACTCAAACAGTTTCAGAGTCTGTCACATTTCTTATCACCTTTTTGCTCTTCCTCTTTTATTGGCTTATCTCGAATTATATAAGTTAACTCCTATATTCATTCACTGATATACTCAAGACTGAACAAACATGTCCAAGTTGGCCAGGCAAAACCTTGCAGTGATGAAATCGATTCAATAACATTCACCAAAATTGTTACTCTTACAAATCCTTAATCGCTTTAAGATTTACAAGACACAAGTTTCAGCATGATTAGAAGTAAACCCTAACAAACGCCCTGATTTGATCTCGGCAATGTAAACTATACTCTAAATCATCTATAATCTAAGGGAATTTCAGATGCTATGATTCCCATACTCGGAAGAAGTAAAAGTAAATCCAACTTTTCTGCAATCTTCATTTACTGTTTAGTTTACCTCTGGAGGTTTGGATGCCGGTGTAACGTCTTCCCACGTTATCCAACGCCCACACTCCCCACAGACCGTGCTGCTACCAACTTTTATTCCTTGGGTTATAAGTGTAAGCTGATGCGCGATTCTGGTGCAGCTGCGGTTCACAAAACGACTTCTGTTGAACCCCATCGGCTGGCGAAGAGGTGCGGTTGGTGGAGGTTTTTGAAGCACCGGAGCTTCACTGAGTGGGACCCGTTGAACTTCTTCCCACTCAAGCCCTCTCCTGTAAACTTCCCAGGCCATGTCTTTTTCTTCCTTTGTCAGTCTTTCATCTTCATTCTCTTGTAGCAAAGTCTCGTGCTCATGGAAACTGGAAATCCAGCTAGTAAAAAAGGGACAGAGAGAGAGAGAGAGAGTGAGTCATAAAGGAAGGAGTGAATGCAAGCCCGATTGTGAATAGGATTACTCTTGCAAACTTACTTGGGGTTGTGTTTCTGTAGTAAGTTCTCCATCAATTTGTCAGAGTAGCAACCGACACGAGATAAAGCAGCCTTCTGTTTCTGTGAATTCTCTGTTACATTGTCGGATTTCTCATCATCATCGTCAAATTCAAAAAGATGTAACATCTCTTCTTTGGAGATGGTACGGGACACTTGTTGTCTATCTACCACTCTCGCAGCAAGGCCCTCCTTGGTCACCTAATCATATTAACATATATGATTCACGAATGTCTCCTCGAAAGAAAGAAACAATGAAACTTAAAATGTTTTGGGTCTTTCAGTACCGTTCGTTTATACATCTTTTCTTCAATGGTCCCACGTGCCATCAACCTGTACGCAAATACTGGCTTCTTTTGGCCATACCTGCAAACCACAAGTCCACGTGATACTCAGTCACATTTCTTAATGCTATGTTTTTTAATTCTATTTGTAGCCTACGAAGATACCTCCAAACTCGAAATATAGCTTGAAGATCATGTGTTGGATTCCATGAACTATCAACAATGATCACACGGTTAGCAGCAGTAAGATTTATTCCAAGGGACCCCGCTTTGGTTGAGATTAGAGTGCATTTCACTCTTTTGTTTTCAGGCTCATTGAACCTATCAACCAACTTCTGGCGTTCTGAGCTTTCGGTTTTTCCATCAATTCTGCATCCACGCAGGGGAAGTTAAGAGCCGTCATAATTTCTCATTCAACATATTCATGCAAATATAAAAGAAGAAGATACCAACCTATACCAGTCTTTTCCCTTTTTCCAGAACTTTCCTTGTTTGCCATGACGAGGTACTCTTGAAAGATAAAGTTCTATGAGATCCAATGTAAGGATACTATGGCTAAACACGAGCGCCTTATCACCCACATCAACACACATGGATAAAATATCCAACAGCAACATCATTTTGCCACTATGGTCCGCCACCTGATAATTGTTTTTGTGAAGTAGGTCGACCCACCAATCCTGGCACAAAGACGGGGTTAGGATCAGAGCACTTTTTACTTGAAAGTTGTTAGCAGTGATTACTAATTCAGTCAGGCTGAGTAGACTAAAGATACCTTTTGGAGGTAGCCATCAACTTTATCCTGCAAATCACTCATAGTTCTCTGTTTCTCTGTCATTATTCAAAACAATAACGTAATAGATGTAAATCAAGAAAGATCACTCCTGTAAACTGAGTAGAATATGACGTGAGCAGTGAACAATTAAGAGTTACCTCCCAAAACCATGTTGCAGTCTATATTTTCATCACTTGAACACTCATCTGGCATATCAACAATGCTACCACGGCGACCGGATTTGCTATCTTCTCTTCTTAATTGCGGAATTCCTGGATGATTCAAAATCTGGAAGGCGCAAAACCAAATAGAGGATTTCAGAAAACAAAACCGGATACCAAATAAAATCTCCACGGGCCTATCGGTATTATTTTGATTTCTTCTCAAATCAGTAATTAATTTAAGCACTAACAAGGCATTTGTGACAATTTTACCTGAGCCAAGACCTGGTAAGCAGCAAGAAAGTTTTTCCTCATCTTTTCATCTGCTCGTCCATCGCTGAACCCATACAGCCTCAGAAATCTCTTATACAGTTTCCTCTGCAACGGCGATAGCTTGACAGATATTACGAAGACTGTTTTAGGTGGCAGATCCTTTTTCACAACATTCATATCCATTCTCTGCACAAATCCTTTCAATTGCTCATACAGGATGTGTGATCTCTGGTTCATAATTTTCACGTCCTCCGCAGTTGAATTCATATGCTGTCCATTTTCTATTGGATTTTGAAACCTGTAGATATGAGGAAGCAGGATTAAAGCTCAAGAAACATCAAATCATCACAGGCAGTATAAAAAACAATGGTACGAAGCTTACCGATTTCTAAACTCAGGGCTGCTTCCCAGGAATCCTTCTCTTACAAAATCAACCATCTGTTGCAGCAAAGACACAACTTAAGAAACTGAGGACAAAAAATAATTAGTTCAAAAGTTTCTATGGTTCCTTCAGTAACTTACACAATAATATTCCATGAGATTGTTTTGAAGGGGTGACCCAGTTAAGGCAATTCTTCTCTGGCATTTAACTTGCTTCAATGCTTGGGTTGTATCAGCTCTGGTGTTCTTGATAATGTGAGCCTCATCGCAAACAAGTATGTCAGGTCCATCCTGCAGCCACGTAGATTTAGAGAATTGCAAGAATAAAACATAGCAAGCAGAGGGAACACAAGAAGAATAAAAGAAACAGGTAGCCTCACCCTCAACGCACTACAGATTTCTTTGGCCGCATTTAAATCCTTCACCCCCCTCCCAAGAGAGAGGTTTCTAAAAGCGGCATATCCCATCAAGAAGACTCCGCCCTTATTTCGCCACTTCGTTAGCAAGTCCAATCTCCTCTCCCTTCAAGAAAAGACATAAGCGCAGAAAGTAAGTTGACAAACTGTCCCCAAAAATACACCTTACATAGGCCAAACAAGAGGTATTTTATATATGGAATATTTTTAACAGATTAATAGGAAGTTAAGACAGCTGAGATCTTGTAAAGTTGAACGAGAGGGCTTGCATCTAGATTCTTAGAAAACATAAATACATTATTCTACGTTTCAGCAAAAGGGTTGTGTCTTAAATATAAGTTAAAGATTACCAATTAAGAGAAGAGCAGGAAGATACTACAGTTTAGAGCAACAAACAGAGCCTTCATTTTCTTATAATCTATCGCAACAAACTTTTAAGTTTGAAAGCATAGAATTTGTAACCAAAATTTAAAGAAGAATTTATACCTTGAAACGTCTTCAAGCATGAAGATGCGAAGTGGTTTCACTTCTGAAGGCCTCCACTTCATAAACTCACTTCGCCAATTATGCAACACATTTACAGGAGTCACAATAAGAGCAGTTTTCAGCCCCAAATCAACGCATCTCATTGCGGTGTAAAGGAACGCTATAACCTGAAAGATTTAAGTGGGCGATGAGATAAAGAGCCAGTAACAGCACACATCATATTAACGACTAACAATTAGCAGTAAGCATTGTAAAAATGGGACGATAATAAGTTCATGCATAAAAAAAGAATTAAGCACCTGGAAAGTTTTCCCCAAACCCATTGTATGTGCTAGAATGCACCCAAGACCTTTATCACCAGACTTCACTCTATTGATAGACTGAATAATATTTTCCCACATAAATCTAATCCCTGTTACCTGAAAACAGAATAGTCGAGATGGGTACGGTAAATGCCCAATAGTACAGGCGAAAAGCAAGATGGAGATGGTTTACGCTCAGCAATCGATGCACATATATGTAAAATGCTAACCTGATGGACTTTTAGTTTGGAAGATATGCTACATGGAACTCTCACAGCTTCTTCACCAATCTCCCTAGCCACATTCACGATGTAACCAGTGTGAGCATCACCAAGAACCTCACTTTCCTCACCTTCTGGAATAGATTTCACGCCTCCCATAGCGCCAACTGTTTTGTATCTGGCAGAAAACTGCAAGGATCTAAGGCGCTCCTGTCGTTCCTACAGAAAGAAAGAACCAAATGTACAATGAGCAATAATAAAACAAAAACAAAAAAATCAAATTCGTAATAACTGTCGAGTAAGTTAACACCTTCTCAATTGCAATTTTTCTTCTCGTGTCTTTCCCTAGTTCAGCATCATCAATTATCCGCCGGATTTTCTTTTTCGATTTCTTCTTTGAGCTAAAAGAAAGAACTCATGCAAGTAAGAAAAATAACACGACAATACTAACCAAGATTAGTTGGGAACATGGTGGACATTTATGTCTGCTAGATATGTATATGTAATACCTTATTGCTACGTTGACATCAGCATCTGTATCAACAGAATTGTTATCAGAGCTGGAATCGGAGCTAGAATCAGAGCTGGAATCAGAGCTGGAATCTATTGACTTCTTATCTCCCATGGCTTTCTCCAGTTCCAGTGTCAATCTTTGCAATGGAATTGGAGAGCAACAACAACAATCCCAACCAGAGGATTGAGCTTCAGACAAGTACTCTTCACCAATATTCCTCTTTATACATGACGCACAGAAATGTCTTTCGCATGACCTACAATTTATCAAGTCAGCAATGTGACCACACCATTCACAATGACGTTCCAAAGAGTCTTCAACCTGTTGGTAAAAATGTCAACGTTTTGATTAGAATTTAAAAGAAAAATTTATGGCAATAATATTTGTAATTTATGGCAAGATTGGTAATTTATCTCTTTTTCAGAAAAGACAGCCCTCCCTTTCAGCACGGTAAAGAGATTTTTATAATTTCTAACTATATTCTGATCCATATGCAACTGGACAGTAACATAAAAGTGGAAGAACATACCTTAGCAATTCTATCTTCAATTGAACGTTTGCAATCCATGCAAACTATTACTTCTAAAAGGGGATGACTATGCACTTCCACAGCTACGTTATTACAGGCAGTACACCTAAAATTGTTTGCTGGATTCTGTGTATCTACATCTGAATTAGACAAATTCCCGTTTTCCTCTTTGTTGACTTCATTATTTTGATATTGAGCCCTCGTCTCCGGACTTTTTACTTGCTCTTCAGCAAGATTTGGGGCAATAGAATTCCCATACAAAAACACAGAATCACCATCCCTATTCTCTGCCGCATGCCTGATAGCCTGAAATAAAACCAAATCAAGACTGCTACGTGAGCCAAATGATTTATTCCTTCAATGTAACCAAACCCCTGACACCAAAAACCCCAAATCTCGTTTTAACACTAGACAGAACCATTACCTGACAATCACGCAACAAGATGATCAAATAGCCATCTTTCCCCTAATAATGTATATTCCTCATTTTATAATACCTTATAACCCTTATAAGTTATAGTACATTTAAGCATCATACTATTTTCTAAGAGAAAGCAAGCTATAGCAAAACACAGACTACATGCAACTAAGTTCTCCAGAACCAGGCTCACTAAGAATAAAATACCCTGAAGAAGATAACACGTGAATTTATGCTACAAGTAACACCAAGACATGTTCGGTAAAATATATGCTACATTAACAGAAGGAACTGAAAGAATATGCAAAACACACCTTAGATCTCTTCTTGCGTCTCTTTCGTTTCAAACGAAGTTGAAGTTCATGATCACTGTTTAAATCATCCTCTTCTTTAACCTGTTGGTGATTTAATGTCATACTCAAAGCTCACAGATGGTATTGTTGGGAGTAGCTTTAAACGGTATTAAAAATATAGATTTCATAGCATACTCTGCCAAAGCAGGAACATAGAGCAGCCAGAAAAGGTAATGCTTTTCTAATAAACTTAATAAGTTAAGACAAGAGATAGTACCCTTATATAATTTTTCTTTTGTTCTTCGGTAAGGGCAAGTTCTCTTTCGTTTTCTATTGCATCCGCAAGAAAAGGGTCTGCCAAGCTTGCATCAATCTCTTCAATTTCCTCCACCTGAAAAATATAATATTTTGATAATCACTCTAGACTGCCAGAAGTTCTGTTAAGTTGCCTTCACGCAGTAGGATGGCGTGATCTAAGATTGTAAAAGCCTGATATATAATATCTCCAAATGTGTTAAACTAGCTTGAGAAAGAACAGGAGATCTTCAAACATTACTTGCCTCCCAAGGTTGTAAATAATGTTTTGGATCATCCAAAACTGCTAGAACTAAAGATGACCAAGTCTTTCAAGAGCATGACTTAAACGTATTTATTTTTCACATCACTCAACTTGGTTAATGTTATGATCCTAATGGAAAACCTACATTGCAGATGAAATATGTATTCCTATCCTGAGCATGGCATACCTATGGAAATACATTTAGTGACTTGCAAGCATAAACTAAAATGGAAACACAGACATAAACGTCGCAAATCAGCATCAGGACTCAGGAAAAAATAAAGACATAAATGAAATTTTAACCTCATTGACTCCTGGAAATTCTAATCCCATGGCTGCAGCTTGTTGAGGAGTGCTTGCCAAGTAAACAGAAGCCCAATGCTTACTACCAAAGGAAATAGCCTCATCCCTTTTTTCGGAAAAAACTTTGTTGAGCGATGGCCAGTCAAGCTCAGATGTTCCAGCTAGACCCTCTTTAACAGGATCATCAGCAAACTTTTTCTCCAGAAACCCACTAGCTCCCTCCTCCAAAAGTTTCCCATGTCGTCTACACAAATGAATGTTTAAATATATCATCCATGAGACCCAGAGTATTACATTAACTAAAAGCTGAAGCTAATAAAACCATACTTTCGGACTGGCCGGTGAGTGTGAAGAAAATTATCTGCTTTAGCCACTGATTCCACGGTTTCTTTGGTCACCTGAGTCCCAACCCAGTGAGCTCTTTTTTTCCAAGCTTCAGTGTAGCAACCACCAGGGGCCTGACTTTCGATCATTTCGTACAATTTTGGAAGCTCGATTCCAGCACCATCAAGTTGCTCCTTTAGGAAAGAAACACAGAAATTTGTAACTTATTTTAGAATGATCTTTGGATTAGATGGAAATAAAGGAAGCAACAACAAAACATACCAACAAGTTCGCACTTTCTGTTTCCAGATCATCAAGAGTTGCCTCCCATTCATCCTTAAAAGTCATCATTTCAGCTGCCACGGCTTTATCCAACTAAAATAGGCACGCTCTAAAACGTTTAATGGGAAAGAACAATGGGACTCAGAGCTATGATAGGGGAAAAAAAAAAAAAATTAACCTCATCACCACGGAGTGTTTGTGCTAATTCCTCCCTAACTTCACTCTCTACTTTAGAAAGAGACTCCTTTTCAAGTGCTTCTTGAGCTTCGGCAGCCTAAAGATTAACGTGGACATCATAGAGAGTGCGATTTAGAACTGAAAGTTGAACTGGCTTATCAAGATCCCCAGTGAACGAAAAGAAGAGATTAAATACCTTACTCTCTACTCCCAAAAGATCCGAAATTAACTCGTCTACTTCTTCCTCGCTCAGAGGTTTCTGCAAAGTAATTTTTTAAAAAGCCCTATTAGATAAACATACGATACTTCTCTGTCATATAAATAAAACTACCAAACGATATCCAAGTTGCTAACCTCAAGATCCAACTCATCATCATTTCCAGACGGCGATTGTTCATCTTCATCTGAAACAGAAACAGAACTTTCAGATCTACAATCGATATCTTGCATCTCCTCATCTTTTGGCTCATCTCCATTGCTGCAATCTTCCATCTCTTCATCAATTTGCTCCCCTCTTGGTTCCACCTTCTCGAGCTTCGCCTCTAATCCCTCCTGTTGTTCCTCTAATCTTTCTTCTTGTTCTATTTCTTTTGCCTCCACTGGATCCTCCTTTTCCACTCGCCCATCCATTTCCAGGAGCCTTTCTCCACTTCCTGCAGAAGAAGAGTTAATAATCAAAACATTGAGCATACCTCCACAGACTCATCATCTATTCACTAACACAGTTTCATGGCTTCCAACACTAACACTTGCCAATTGGATATCACCGAATTCTAATTCAAAACAACCATGTAAACCTAAGAGCAGAATTTAGATAATGCAACTCTTAACACAGAAAGTTTGAAATTACGGAGAAGAACCGAAATGTAATAAAGGAAGTCAATTAATTCAATGGAAAATTTAATGTATGATCAGTTTATACCCTCTCATCATCCACATACACAAAATATTAATTACTCTAAGATCTATGAACCAGCTCGTACCACTCCAGTCATCAGTTGAAGCGGCAAAACGGAACTAATTTAGAGCGTAATGAAGAAGAAGAAGGGAGAGAGCGAAACAAAATTCACGGATATGAAAAGAGCACAAAATTAAGGCTGCGGCGAAGAATGCTTACCAGAGTGGAAGAATCCTAGTGAAAAAAGGCAGAGTCTATTTGCAAAGAGAGAAAGAGAAATCACGAAAGCGAGGAAGAATTTGGTAGGGTTTGGTTTAAGGGAGCTAAATCGCCGGCAACGGAGGGTCGGGATCGAGACGGTTCGCCGCGGTGAGACGTGTCGGGATTGTTTGGTTTCAGATGTTTATAAAGTTGTTTGGGAATCGACGGGTTTGGAAAAAAAATATTTGACACCCTTTGGTTATCTGCAAATACATCGGAAAAAAATAAGAATACATGAACACGTTCAAGGTGTACTTAATTAAAAGGGTGGCTAGCAGAAATTACATCTTTGACTAGCATAGATTACCTTAAGTTAAACAGTTAAACTCTTCCTAATTTTTTTTTTTGTAATTTTTTATTTTTTTTTTCATTTTCAAAAACGATAACATTTGCAACAAATTATAATCGAACCCCTAAATAATTAATTTGTAATGTAAAACATGGCAAATGAAATAACATAAAATATGATAACTATACGAATACATATAACCATAGAAATTCAAACCCTAGATGAAAATTAACGAATGTAAAAATATTAAACTCAAACTGAAAAGCTTAAAATATGACAACTATTAAAAAGCTTACAATAATCAAAATCTAAACTTTAAACTCTAGATGAAACTAGAGAACATAGCCAATTGTAAATACATAGCATTTTTGTGGCAAATTATAGAGATTTTTAAAAAAAAAAGAATGTGATACAAATAGAAGATATCGGATTGAGATAACATCCAAGAGAAAAATTAAGAAGACAATGCAAACAGTTGTAATAGTGAGTTCTAGAGGATGTAGATGCATGTAGTCTTAATTTTTTTTTTGACAACTTTCTGTAGAAAATAAAGTTTATAAGTATTTAATTCAAAATTTTAGTTTTTCTCTTGGTTAGGGTATTTTTTAGGATTTTGTTTCCGGTGATTACAACTTCTTCCTCCTACTTTATTTTCGGGATATAAACTTCGTCGGCCGACTTTAATTTCTTTCTTTACTATTTAGGTTAAAATATTTGTAAATTTTTTTTTACAATTTCAAAAAAAATCTCTACATGAAAAGAAAAATAACTATAAATAATTAAATAAAAGCTTGATATTTTGTTGTCATTTACTCTCTTTTAAAATGATTTATTTACAAGTTTAGTTAATTAATTAATTTTGCTGGCCCGGTAAGTACAATTCGTGGGTCAGCGACTGAAACAAAGGGACCTATATTCGGTTCAATGGCTAAGTCCACTCGTCACTGTTGAAAATATTCCTATCTTATATTCAGTAAAAGTGTAAACAGAAAGCAATCAATACATGAATGACATAAATACCCTTCCGTCTACCGTCTTCCGTCTTCCGTCTTCCGTCTTCTAAATTTTACCTACCACCGGTGAGTTTCTGAAAATCGGCATATCTCCAGCGCCATGGCAAACACTTTTCCGGCGTGGTTTCGCCTCCGCGAGCATCGTGATGACGTCTCTAATCGATGGTCTATCCTTCGGGAGCTTCGCAGTACAGAGAAGACCGATTCGCAGAGCTAGAAGCATCTCTTCGATCACGTGTTTACACTCTCCGGCGATGCTTGGGTCAAGCACTTGTTCCAAGCTCTCGTTATTCTTCACCTTTCTCCGGATCCACTCCACCACGTCAATCGATTCCTCAAACGAAGGATCTATCGGCATTTTCCCAGTCACCAATTCCAGAAGCACCACCCCGAAACTGTATATATCGCTCTTCTCGTCAATCTTCAGCGTGTATCCGTACTCCGGCGCTATATACCCGTAAGATCCGGCCACCATAGATACCGTCTCGTTCTTGTGGAGCATCATCTTCGCCAATCCGAAATCCGCTATCCTCGCCTCCAGGTTTGAATCGAGGAGTATGTTATTAGATTTGATGTCCCTGTGAATGATCGGCGGATAGCAATCGTTGTGCAAGTAATTGAGCCCTTGAACTACGCCGACGGCGACATTGTATCGGGAGACCCAATCTCTTAATAGGAATTTCTCATCTTTCGAATGCAAAGCAGTTCCTAAGTTCCCGTTGGGCATGTACTCGTACACCATCATCACTTCTCTCTCATTGTGAATGTAACCCAGAACCTTCACAATGTTTCTATGCCGGAGACCACCGAGCAGGTTCACTTCTCTGAGTATGTCCTCTTCTTCTTCCTCTTCCTGATGATGATGATGATGATGATCTTCGATATCACTCTGTGGTGATGATGATCTCCAGAGTTTTTTCACTGCTACTGTGAGTAATGGCCGTCTCATGACTTCTGCTTTGTAAACAATCCCCATGGCTCCCATTCCAATGATGTTTGATTCTTTGATATGTGATAAGATGTCTCCTGCAGTGAAACACAGTCTCTGGAAAGCCACGAGTCTCCATGGCCACTCCTCCTTAGGCTGCTTGCAGAACAAATACTCTCTGGCGAAGTTGCTGTAAAGATCCCACCTTTTATTTTTTCCTTTTTGTATTTGAAATATGTTTTACTTTTCCTTTTCTTAATGGATGTAACAATTTTTTTTTTTTTTCGTTTTTTTTTTTCTGTTTGGTTTTTGATTAGAGTTTTCTCTTTTTTTTTGTTCTTTTGTTTTTGTCTAATTTATTTATTTATTTTTGTTTCGAGGATATAGTTTTTAATTTTGTGAGGTTATTTGATAAACATCTCCCTGCCAAGAATACCATTCCCAGAGACACGATGACCGCTGTGCCAACAATGAACCCGAAGATTGCATGATTCAAGTGAATTCTCCCTGGATTTCTCCCTCTTGCTGACAAAGCTAGGCTCTTAGGGCAAGGCGGTAGAACTCCACTACATAAGCCATCGTTTCCCACGAGGTCGTTTGGGTTTATGGCTGCAAACAGCCCGTATGAAGGAACGGGTCCTGTGAGTTTGTTGAATGACACGTTAAGCATCTCAAGTGTTGGGGAAGCTCCCAAGTTCCGTGGTATAGTCCCCGTCAGGGAGTTGTTTGAGAGGTCGAGAACAGCTAACATGTGCATCCCGGCTAATGCCTCGGGGATTTCTCCATCCAACTTGTTGCTCTTGAGATTTAGACGCACAAGTTTTTCAAAGGAAGCAATCCTTTCTGGGATTTCACCTGAGAAGTGGTTGAAGGAAAGATCGAGGACAGACAGAGATGGGCGGTCTTGAATCTGGTCAGGTATTTTTCCAGCAAAGCTGTTATGTGAGGCGAAGAAGGTTTGAAGATTAGGACTTGAGAAAATGGCTGAAGGTAGGGATGAGAGATGATTAAAGGATATGTCTATGAATGAGAGAGTGGTAGATAACGCTATATCATCTGGAACTTGACCGGTGAGGTTGTTTTTGGCGAGTTCTAGATGCTGAAGCATTGGTAAGTCACCAGAACCGGCTGGTATTGCTCCGGAAATGAGATTTTTCTGAATTCGAACACGAACTAAAGTCGGACATGAGAAGATTTCCTTTGGAATCTGACCTGAGAATGAGTTGTTGAAGAGAATGAGCTTTGTGAGGTTTCTGAAACTGCACAATCCCGGTGGGATTTCGCCTGTTAGCTTGTTTGATGAGACGTCTAACCATTTCAAAGGCGAACTCTTGCCTAAATGCGCCGGTAAGGAACCAATCAGAGAGTTCTGCCACAGCTCAAGAACCTCAAGGTTTGGCAACTCAGCAATCTTTGACGGAATGGTTCCCGTCAGTTGATTCCTCATCAAATTTAGAAGCTGCAGATTCTTCAGCTCAGCCACTTCCATTGGTATTTCTCCTGTGATCTGGTTATCAGAAAGATCAAGAAACACAAGAGAAGTCATATTACCGACTTCTCGTGGGATCTTCCCCGTGAGACGGTTCTGGTAGAGATAAACTGTTGTGAGCTGTTTCAGCTTCCCCAAAGAAGATGGAATCTGACCGGTAAGGTTCCCAACAGCCAAATCGAGGTACTGAAGATGCTTCAGGTTCCCAAACTCTTCTGGAATCTCCCCTGTGAAGCCATTGTAGCCAAGAATGCTGGTCTCCAAGGAAGACAGCTCACCAATCACCTTTGGTAGCTTCCCACCTAAGTTATTGCCCGAAAGACCGAGAAACTTGAGTTTCTTGAGATTCTTGAAAGAAGAAGGCACCGAGCCTTCAAAGTAACCTCCTCGAAAATCCAAAACCTCAAGTGTAGTTGCGTTGCCGAGATCTTCCGGGAGAAACCCAGAAAAATTGTTGCTTGAGGCATTGACGTGTGTAAGACCAGTGGCCATTCCTAGACCATAAGGGAAGGTTCCAAAGAAGCTGTTGTTGCTGACGTCGAATACCTTCAAGGAAGTGAGATTGAAAAGAGATTTAGGAAGAGAAGACTCGTATGCGTTATTGCTGAGATCAAGGACTTGCAGTGAAGGGAAGCTCTGAATCTGATCCGAGATGTTTCCGCTGAGATTCATGTTGGGAAGAAGAAGCTTAACCACGGAGCCATTTGAATCGCAGTGAACTCCGGTCCAGTTACAATGAGCCGACGCAGTTGATGATGTGGCATTCTCGGGTCTCGTCCAGTCTTGGAGATTGTTTGAAGGATCAAACAGGTCTGACTTGATGGACAACAAGATCTCTTGTTCATAAGCTTGAAATGTTTCAGAAGAAGCAAAAGGGACGAGAGAGAAAACAATGTAACAGAAGAGGAAGAAGAGTTGAGGAATCGCCATTGTCTCTTCTGGTTCTTTGCTTTTGGCTAGTTTAATGGCATTTTGAAGACATACTGCAACTAAGATCGAAGCGAAGTCGATGATAATATGAGAGTCGAAACCAAAAGCTGGAAAACAATGATTAAGTCAGAATCTTATTGTATAGTTTAATCTCTCTCTCTCTCTCTCTCTCTCTCTCTCTCTCTCTCTCTCTCTCTCTCTCTCAATTATTTTATCATGATTGTGTTTCTTTTTCATTCGGTGGAATAATATACCAATTCCATTGCCGATAATAACAATTTGTATATGTAAGCTTTTTCCGTCTGTAAATACAAGAGATGATACGATTTTTCATTCAAATGGCAAAAGTAGACAAAAATATGTGGTGAAAATTTCTATTGATGTTTTCATCTATGTTCGTCTGTTATAATTTTGCAAACTGAGTTCGAGAATCAAATCTCTAACCATATCCTGAAGGTTTATAAGAATTATATATTTGCTGATCTGTGTAGCTTCAAACAATTAGAGAAATTTTATGAAATACACCTCTTGAGGTGCAAATTTTCAAAACTACACCTATAGTGTGGAAATTTTCAAAAATACACCTTTTTCCAATTTTAATATATATGTTTGGATTCACTAATCCTAAATTAGAGTTTAGATTTTGGGGTTTAGGGTTTAGATTTAAGGGTTCAATGTTAGATTTTAGTGTTTTGGATTTATATTTTAGGGTTTAGAGTTCTTTTAATCAATGAAAAAAGTGTAGTTTTGAAAATAGACACCATAGAGGTGTATTTTTGAAAATTGACACTTTAAAAGGTATAGTTTTGAAATTTTCTCAACAACTTATAGTGATAAGAAGGTTTAAAATAATGGTGAAGAAATCGTGGGATCTTGGGTTTGTGAACAGCTAATATAATCATAAGACACTGAGTGACTTGTAAAGCTTTGTCCTCATTAGGGATTAGTGGGACAGTAAAACATGGGCAGAGAATGTGTCCCACTGAGTGCTCACTTTATCTATTATCAGTTGAAAGATGATTGAACATTTAGTCAAAAACAAAACTGTTATTAGAAACTAGTTCCATTTCTATTATAAAATCACTATCGCTTGTGTTTGTATCTTTTTGTTTTTTCCCATACGAAAGGTAAAAAACATACAGTATCAATAAACTTAAGATAGTTCAACTAGATTGATCATCTTTAATGCGAGTAAATGCAAAGTTTTGAATTACAATAAAGACATGGTCCGGTTGATTTTATGATCATAAAGGTCGGGTCCTGTGCACAAGTGGTCTATCATGCTTGAAGGCTTGACGTTACTACGAATATGCGTTTGGTTACATATTGTTGTTGATTTTTTCTCAACAACCCGTTCTAGTAAAATCGTTAGGGATTCAAACTATCGATTGATCTTTACTGAGTTCTCGCATATCTTCATTCGCCGGGAGGATGTTTTAATTTCTTTCGAATTATGGCGTTACTTTAAAAAAAAACGAGTTATGGTGGTCGTGAGAGAATCTTCCCACGTTGTTTGAACATAATTAAATACAAATAAGAAAGTGCATTGCCAAGTTGCAAAGAGGAACGTCCCATGACACTTGCGTGCATGTATATACATCACATAGATGATAGACCTATACATTTTTTTTTTTCACATAGACCTATACATGTGTATATATGTTATCTGAAAACACAGTTTTATTTTTCTTACTTTGGAATATCGTGTTTTTTTTTCTAGGTATATTCGTTTGATCTAAAGCATTTGAGGTCATATATGCATACGTTTTGCTTTTGCGTAGTTTCTTCATCCCTTCTTTTATATATTGTTTTACATGTTTTCATGAAAATGAACAGAAAGTAAAACTTTTATTCTTTTTATTGCGCACTTTCATTGTGTTCATTGATGGAGTTTAATTCTTATCTTGAATTCTCGTGTGTGATAGACATCCGACACAAACTATACTTGCGACTAAGCAACACAATTTTAATTTTCCGAGCATATGACTAATCATTATCATCCGTGTAAAAAGTACAAAGAGGCACGGGTTTGTTCAGAAACTGTTGTAATATCGCAAGTTAGATGGACATTACTACTACCTCGAATTAAATTTATATGTCCTATTAAACATAACACATAGTCTCTATTATTCTAAGAAGAAAAGTAATGAAGCAAATCTAACTTTATACTATGCCACTTTAGCATTTCACATGCACCCATATGGGCCTTTTATCATAATTAACATTTTAAAAATATAAAATATCAAAAGGAGTAACAACAATCGTATACATGATATACATGCATTATTAACATGCATTATCTCATGAATCATGATGATATCATAATTTCGATTATGTAGAGAGAGGTTGAAGCTGTAGTCCATGTGCTTAAGACTAACAAGTAAGAGCTTTCCATTTTGTTCACCTTCATTAGTTTAAATTTTGAATTCGATTAAGCGTATTATTGTATTTTTTGACACTTTCTACCAGCTAAAAAATATCAAATCTAATTTTAACCGCGTAAATATCGAATTTGGTCGACAATTAAAAAAAAAAGAGAGAGAGATATCGAAAAAGCCCAACTGAAGTTAGTCAAAGACATTGGAAAAAAAGCCCAAATATAATTGGAGCAACTGTGGATTTAGGGTTTTAGGAGAACTTGATTGATTTAGGTTTTCTTCAAGTGTGTGGTAGGCGTCGAACAGAGAAAGAGAGAGGGGTTTTGGGAAGATGGCGAAATTCAATGAGGTAGCGAAGATGAAGAGAGAGGCGAAAGCCGATAGAAAAAGAGCAATTCACGGCGATCCACTCACGAACAAATTGAAAACCAGAGCTCCCAACGTCTCTGTCTCCGGAAAACGCCAGAGAAAACTCCTTCGAAAATGGCGCCGAGTATGAATTCCCTCCTTAATTGCCAAGTTGAATTAGTTTTCAAAACATAACTACAACTCCTAATAAAAATGTTTGTTGATTGAAAACAGGAGCAGAAAGAGATGGTGGAGAAGGGTCTTGTTACCATGGAAGATGTCGAGATGGCTTCTGCTGAAGGTACAATTTTCATCCTCAGCTTCTGCTGTGCTAATTGATATTTCGACTTCACCTAAGTTTGTCATTATAAATCTAATATCAGCTAGGAATAAACTTTTATTACTCAGAAATACAATCACTTTGAGCTGTAACTTTATAATCTCTTCTTGTGAAAACCTGTTAGCAAATATTTATAGAAATGTCATCTTTTTGTTCTGTGTATTATCTTGTCTAATTGATATGCCCTCTTTTGCGTATTATTGATTACAATGGCTTGTTCAGATTCATTTTGCTCTCGTGTCTTTTTACTTTGTTTTGTCTTTTGCATTAAAAGAATCTGATCTCTTCTTCTTTGGTTTCAGGTGCATCAGAAGACTCGAAGAAATCCCAAAGAAAATTTAGCGTAAAGAAGACAATAAAGCTCAATAAACTAAAGAATAAAGGTAACTTATCCTTGAGCGTTTTCAGATCTGTTTTAATTTCGTAAGTCTGTTACTACTTGGTGCAATTTAGCCGATCATGGAACTAACAAGATGTTGCTTACATGTGAGCAGGCAAGAAGAATCAAAGTCAGAAAGCCATTGGAGAAGGATCTGCTGATCAGATGCTTGAGTGATTGTTGTCTTAAAACCCTTTTCATCTAACAACCGAACACCGATAATATATAAGTTTCTCTCAATGTCTGGTTACATTTTTTCAAAGTGGGAAACGTGTAACATGTGTGTTTCGCATGAAAAGAGGATGATGAGTGAAGGATTTGATAGGGTTTGTTTTATTTCCAAGTGTTTTCTGAATCTTATAGATGTCAATTTTGTTTTATCGTTTAGAAAAATTATCATTTTGTATTCTGATATGCCTGGTGCTTTTGGTTATGTCAAACAAGTATGCTTTCAGTCTCCGAATCTGTGTTGTTCCATCAGTTTAAAATTCTGTACATGATTGCAGACGTCCACAATCTAACATATGCTCGCAATTTCTTATGAACCATAACCAAAAACCACAGTTATAGAGAATAGCGAACTTTCTGAGATCAGTAGCCTATAATACTCTCAAGCCAAAAGCTCCTAAGATCAATATGAAGATATTTGTTGTAGTTTGTAGTATTATGAACATTCAAGAAAACTGTGTTTGGAAGAGACACTTGTGAAAGAAGAGTCTTAGAAAAAACCTTAAGATATTATAAAAGATGATACCAATCCATAGAGGATGCCATCAAGACATTGTATCATACTCCTCACTAGATATTTACATACATTGAAAACTTCAAAGCAACAAAAACAAGCCAAGAAACCAAAATTCTACTGAAGCTAATAAAAGTAGAAAGCTTCCATAGCGCCCAAGCGCGCAACTACTTACCACTCTGAATCCCATAAGAGCTGAGCTAAACTCGAGAACCATCGGAACTGGTCTTGCTCTAAGATAACCCAGTAAACCGGTTTTGCTCAGGGTGACTCCAAAAAAAAACTAAACCCCATCAAACCGGCTGCTCCAAGAACATACATCTTTAGGTACTGCAAATATGACCACTATCTCACGCAAACTGTACAGAGAGAAACGTTAAGTATTCGCTCTCGGAAGTCGGAACCAGATCATCTCCCTGCGGAAACCAGTGTTTTTTCGTCATTGGTGCTCATCGATGGATGAGGAACAGGGAGACCTGGGTTTGAAGAAGTGGGAATGGCTGCTTCTTCCTCAACTGGTACAGGCTTTGGCGTGTAACTAAAGTTGAGTTCCTTGTTGGCTGCAAGTGCCACAAGCTCTTTCTCTTCAAGGCCTTTGGTCGGTCCAAGGCTACACCTATCTGGGCTATGCTTTGCCAACGCGTCTCTGAATTTCTTGATCTACAGGAAACAAAAATCAAGATCAAACTCAAATTAGACCTAACGTTGTTTTGAATTAGTCGTCTCTTGACTTAACGTGGATGAGAACGAAACGAACCGTGGCATTGGTACAGCTGAAGCTGCAAACACGGCCATGAGCGCCTCGGTAGAATCGGAAAAACGGGAGGACATGGACACCGAGGCTGTAACACATGGACTTGTGCTCCTCGTAGTTCACCTGGAGAAACTGCACATCCGGATTCTGCTCTGCCAATTGACATATCTGCAACATTCATAAACCATTTCTCTGGTTAGAGAAAAAGATTGTTCAAAGAGTCCCAAACATGCATGGAGGTTAAGTCTTAAGAAGTGTATTTGTTTATACCTTGGGATGAAGAGCCTTGCAGCCGCCGCAGCCAGGGGAGAAGAAATCGACGACGACGAGCTTATCGCCGGCGTTGGTGAGAGAGTCGACGAGTTCTTGCGCTGAAGAGATCTCTCTCATGTTTTCTCGCAGACCTTTCTCCCACCACTTCTGGGACGTTCCAATCCTCAGCGTCGTCTACACATGTCACATCAATTTCACACATTTCAGATCTAAGAAACCAAAAAGGTCTGACTTTGAAACGCAAATCGGAACCCTAAACCAAAATATTCTCATTTTGGCCATAATTAAACAACGCTGAATCGATTGTTCACTAATAAATCAAATTAGCTATCAAGAACTTGTAATTAGATCTCGCATGTGTGGATTATCAAATTTGGGGTAAAACATCTCCACGAAAGGTAGAAAATTTGAAAAAAAAAAAAATTGAATTACCTGAGCTGTGATGGATGATGATCGGAAGCTTCTTCTGGAGCTTTTGGATTGAGCATCTTCCAGGACGATCTGCTTTCCATGGAATTCGCTTCGAAGAGGCTTCTGATTCTTAAGGTTTAGAGATGAGAAACTCTTTTTCAAAGCAAGACCACCGAAACTCACCGGAGAGACAGAGATATCATCAACACGGTGGTTCTTACAAGCTCCGATGAACAAACTCGTTCTGCTAATCACCTCCGCCATTTTTGAAAAGTAAAAATTTAGGAACGAGAAAAGACTCTGAAATTAACAGAAGAAGAAGAAGAAGAAGAAGAAAAGCAAAGTCTCACAGAGACAACGTGTCCTCTCAGCTATCTTTTAAATCGCCAGCGAAGATGTTTCGCTTTTATTTTTCTGTTCCACGAAAAAATTTATAGAAAATGGAAAAAGGAAAGGGAAAGTGAAAAGGGTTTACACATTTCTGGACAGGAAACTGTTTTCCTTTTCGTTATGCGATCTTGACTGTTCAATTCGGATTTGGTAATGTTCAGATCTGACGGTTGATCTTTGATTTGAGATGGAGTCGGTCAGAATAAAACAGATAATGGATAAGGTCCTTGACTTCTCCCGGATATTAAGGTTATGAAATTTTTCTCTAAACTTAGAATTTGAATATGTAATGTTTTAAAATGATTTGACTGAAGTATTTATTTGTGGAAACTGGAAATTGGATAAAAGGGCAAGATTTTTTTCATATCCATTTTGTATTTTTTTACTCAAACAGTCAAATATATTTGGAAAGAAACTATACCAATTTGCCAAAACATTTTTCTCTTCAATGCAAATTGCAAATCAACTAACTTCTAGAAAGACGAAAAGCCATCCAAATTGAAGTTTTGTGATATTATTTGAGAAACTAATTTATGTGTTATCCAGAAAAAGAAAGTAAAAGGAACGAATGGCAGAGAAATAGAAAGATTATCCGCCTCGTGAATATTTGTGTTGTACATGTAAAGAGTGTAACGACATTTTTACACACAGAAAAAAAAGAGATTTACACTTAAAAGGTACATTTACACTTTCTAATAACATTCAAAGGTACTTTGAGTTATTAAGGGACTTTGGCCAAAAAAAAGACTAACGAAATTCCAAAGCTGTCATTCCAATAAATTTTCTTTGTTTCTCCTTTTATGTTTGAAGAAGTTTTTTACCACAGACATCGCAGTAAATTTGTGCTTTGTTTCCGATGAACTCGTCGGAGTAACTCAAGAACAGTTATTGAATCTAGGAGAGATTTGTTATAACTGTTTTGGAAAATTTCGTCATTGAATTCATCAAAAAAAAATTCTGCTATTTATGAGATTTCGTCGTCGAATTCTGTATTGATAATCGATTTGAAAGATTTCGCAGTCGAATTCGTCAAAAAAAATTCTTTTGGCTCTTGGATCTGAAATTTTTCAATCTCGTCAGAGTTTGGAGAAGATGAATCTAGGTTAACTTGCAATCATATCCACATCTACATATCCATATCTAATCGCAATCGTGGACATAATAACATATACATATTTAGTGATGTCTCATCTGGACGTCTTTGTTTGGTTAACTAAATTTTGATAATTTACATAAAATATATGTGTGGACATATTTATGTGTACATGATTTGTGAACACAAAGATAATTAATAACTGAGTGAGTGTTTGTTGAGTTATTGTTTAATAACTAAACTGTTTCATAGAACTGTATTCATATGCTTGTGTCCATACTATGGATATGGATATATAACATCTATGTTCATATATCCATATCTATATGAAATTGGTTTTCAATCTATCCAAAATTCAACATACAATTTTTACAGAAGGGACCAATAGCCGCATGAAATCATGGACATAATACTGTGGATATGAATTGGTGGACAGAATAACATTTAAATATTTAACTCTCTCATTATCTTGGTCTTATATATATGAACATAGGTGTTATATATCCATATGAATATGAAGTATGAACACAAGCATATGGATACAGTTCTATGAAACAGTTTAGTTGATAACACAACTCAACAAACACTCATCCAGTTGTTAATTATCTTTGTGTTCACAGATCATGTACACGTAAACATGTGAAGATGTAAATTATCAAAATTTAATTAACCAAACAAAGACATCCATATGGGCGTATCACTAAATATGTATATGTTATTCTGTCCACGATTGCGATTAGATGTGGACATGTAGATGTGGACATGATTACAAGTTAATCCAGATTCATCTTCTCCAAACTCTGACGAGACTGAAAATTTTCCAGATCCAAGAGCCATAAGATTTTTTTTGACGAATTCGACGGTGAAATCTTTCAAATCGATTATCAATACAGAATTCGACGATGGAATGAGAGGCGAAATCTAGAATAAGGACGGAGAGAGAAACAACGGCGATGATGAACGACGGAGTGTGAGGCGGAGTTGTTGATTTCCAGTGAAAGATAAAAATAAAAAATAAAGAGTAAAGTAAAAGACAAAGTTATAATTAAAGAAAAGAAGAAAGAATTGTTTTGTCTTTACAATGCCTCAAAGTCCCTTAGAAGTAGAAAGTGCCTATAAGTGTAAAAAAAAAAGACAAAAGTGCGATGTAACTCACTCCAGAAAAAAAGTAGTGATGCATATTTGGATTTGTATTTTAAGGAAGATAGTTTGCCAACACATCGCTCACGTGTGGGTCTCGCTCTATCCACCACATCTATCCTTTATTCTTTCTTTGTTGGAACTCTCCTCCATTCACATAAAAGGCCAAACTTATTTAAATTGTAGTATTTGGAGATGGGCCCTTTCTAGTCTAGTGCTTTACAGCTCAACAAATTAACAAGCAAGACGTTCCAATGGAGATATTTAATTGTGTATAGTGTAGCTAAACAACAAAGTCGGAGTGTTGATGAAGGAAACATTATTGTGGAACAAGCGTATCAAATATAGTCATTGCATGCTTAGAAAGTAGAACAAGAAGATAAATTTAATTGATACAGTACAAACGGTACAAATGAAAAGTTGAACAATACAGTTTGCCACAAAATTTGCCAAATTATATAGTTTTAGGAACGAGTGTTCCTGTGTTCGCATGATAGTTAACTGGACTATTATGCGTTGCTTTTGAGTGTGTGATTGATGTGGCGTTACGATTTTTATCTTTAGATTTAAGACAGCAAATATTTTAGTTTGAAATGCCCTGATCTGAATGGCTCAAATGCGTTTCTAAAACATAACCAAAAAAAGTTATACCATACGTTTTCTAACATGAACTACACAATACAAGAACCACATTTTTTTTAAATGGTGACAAAATGCATAAAAATTAAAAGCTGTCTTAAATTCTTAATTTTGGAAATGCCACCAAATATCTATTTGCCTAGTTTTAAATGTCAACCTTACGCTAGTCGGCCAAAGCACTGAAATTTACATGTAATAACAGTTTAGCCCCTAAATTCTTTTTCAGTTTAGATATCTCCACGAAAGAAAAAAACAATTACACAATTAAAAAAAGAAACTAACGGATACATCGCCCAGATATAGCCGTTGTGGGGAAGGAAAACACAGTAACGGCTATTTTCCTTTTTCTTTTTATTAAACTGGGCTTTCTCGTTTCTCATCATCATTGCTAAAATCGCTCTTCAATTCCTCTAGAGTCCAGCTTCATCACCACACTTCTCTCTCTCACATTCTTCTCGGCTCTGAATTTTGAATCCTACAACACTCACACACACAGACGTACGTTGTTTAATTTGATTGTCTCTGTTTTTAGTGAAATTGCACATCTATGTTGCTCAATTTCGATTCTGAGATAAGTTTGATTTTGAATTTTTTTGCAGGCGAGAAAAGATGAACGACCTAATGACGAAATCGTTCATGAGTTACGTCGACCTAAAAAAAGCAGCGATGAAGGATCTGGAAGCAGGACCGGACTCCGATCTCGAGATGGCTCACAAAACGGACGAGAATCTCTCATCTTTCCTAGAAGAAGCGGAGAAGGTGAAAGCGGAGATGGCTCTGATCGGCGAGACACTGACTCGGATCGAGCAGTACAACGAAGAGAGCAAAGGCGTGCACAAGTCAGAGTCGGTGAAATCTCTCCGCAACAAGATCTCCAACGAGATCGTCTCCGGTCTCAGGAAGGCCAAATCGATCAAATCGAAGCTCGAAGAGATGGACAAAGCCAACAGGGAGATCAAACGGCTCTCTGGAACTTCCGTTTACCGGAGCAGAGTCGCTGTGACCAACGGGCTTAGGAAGAAGCTCAAGGCAGTGATGATGGAGTTTCAGGTTCTGAGACAGAAGATGATGAGTGAGTACAAGGAGACTGTCGAGAGAAGGTACTTCACCGTCACTGGAGAGCATCCCGATGAAGAGATGATTGAGAAGATCATCACTGATAACGCCGGAGGCGAAGAGTTTCTCACTCGAGCGATTCAGGAACATGGAAGAGGCAAAGTCTTGGAAACTGTGGTTGAGATTCAAGACAGGTATGATGCGGCAAAGGAGATAGAGAAGAGTCTCTTGGAGCTTCACCAAGTGTTCCTCGACATGGCGGTGATGGTTGAGTCTCAAGGCGAGCAGATGGATGAGATTGACCACAACGTCATGAACGCAAGCCATTACGTGAAAGATGGGACCAACGAGCTCAACACAGCGAAGAAGCATCAGAGAAGCAGCAGGAAATGGATGTGCATTGGGATAATTATCCTTCTCTTGATCATTCTCCTTGTTGTCATCCCCATCATCACCAGCTTCACCTCTTCTTAGTCTTTGTTTTGATCTCGCTCAAAAGGATGATGTCTTAATCCTTTTTCTTTTCATATTCTGTATCCAATTGTTATTGAATGATGAATGTTTTTACAAAAGAGAAAAGATATATTACCGTATATGTATGATATAGTGTTTCGACAACAATGGCCAAACTATCTAAATTTTCTGATTGGCAATGCTTTTCCAAACAATTTCTCAACCTCACCAGCTTCCATTTTAAGCTCATCCAACAAGGCCATCTCTTCTTCACTCAACCCTCTCAACAAATTCTCCTCGTCTTGCTTTAGCTCGTTAAACCCTTCAGCCAATCTCTGGAACAAGGTCATCTCTGTCCTGCCAACTTTCTCAACTTCCTTCTCCACTTCCTGTTCAATCTCTTCAACCTCTTTCACGATGATCTTCTCACCTTCTTCCACTGTCTTCTCAAGTCTTTCAACCAGCGGAGGTTCAGGACCACAAGTGTTATCCGTTGTCACGAATGTGCTGAAGTCTCTGCCTATGCTTTTCGCTGCCTGTTCAAGCTCCGGTACAATGCTATTGGGAAGCACATTGCTTCTCGTGTACACAACAGCGCCACCGTATCCATCCCAAGCATCGTTTCTCCCACGGTAGTACACGAATATATAGTCTTCAGGCTTGTTCTCTATCTTTGATGACAGGATATACCTGCAAGCAAGAATCATGTGAAAAAACTTTTCATACCAAAGAAGAGAGATGTTATTTGTTGTTTACCAGTCATCTTGATAGTGAAGGTACTCGTTGTCATGGTTGTAGAGGACAGCAGGTTGGTTAGGATCTTGCTTGAATGTTTGTACGGCTGATCTAGTGAAGAAACCGGTGTCTGGGGTCTTTATCCTCCAGGAGATGTTACCAACGAGCTTGTTACCTTCTACGTGGAACTCGTGCAGCTGGCAATCGAAGATATCAAAGGTTGGATTCAAGCCGCTTGTGATGTACCATTTCCCGTTAAAATCGTTGATGTTGAAGTTCTTGACAAGAGCAGAAGGGTCCGGGACAGGAAACTCTCCGAGATCGGATTTTCTAGGAACACATTTTTTTCTGGAGACTGCACACTCGTTGAACTCATCAACTACACTGTTGGCGAATAGATCCCCACATTTAATCTGAAAGCCAAGAAAGCAAACATTTTGAATCAAAATCTTTGGTCTCTTCTCTCATAAGCAGTTATATACAAATAAGAACCTGGCACTCGGTTTCATCAGGACGGTTGTTACAGGTCTGGAGGCAAGCGACGTTGGCTGCACAGGAAGGGTTTGCAATGCACTTTGCGAGTTCTATCCTAACAGAGTATATTGGCAAAACAATGTGAGATATATAAACTTTGTGGCAGAGAATCCAAAAATGAAGACTTTTTGGGAAACTTTTACCTGCATTCCTTAAGCAAGCAAGCACAAGTTTTGAGTGCATCAACTGCGTCTGCAGATGGAACTATGAGGAACGCGCAAGCTAAAACACCAACGAGCTTTAGCAGCAGTGGAGTGCTCAGCTCTTTTAATGCATTTCTTGATGTTAATGCCACAATATCAAATACTCCCTGAACATGAATTTGGCATTACAGACGAAAGCATCGGAAAAGAACATATGAATCATAAAGCCTCCTGATTGATTGAATGAGATTGATTACCTTAGAGACTCCAGACTTGAATCCAGCAGATACGGAGGGACGTGAGGATCTGAGAGTAGTTCTTAGATGAGCGTTTTGGGAAGAGGGTAAAATCTTGAGCAAGAATGTGCCATTGATCCTCTTTCTGAGAAGCCTACCATCATCATCACTTGTAATCCGAGAGAAGAATCGAATACGGTCATGACAAGTAGGTGAAGTGAAACAATGTGTAGCCACTGACATGCCTTCACTATCTAATTCTAATCTTCCTGAGACAAAACATGAACAGAGAAAATGCACATTACTATGAAACAATCTACAAATAAACTGTGAATAATCATCAACAACAAAAATTGACTCGAAATCAGATAGTGTTGAAGTTGAAGGTTTCTTCATACCAAATACGGAAATTGAGGTGTCGAAAAATCAAAACCAACTGAAATTAACGAAATTAAGAATCGGAAGACGTTGGCTTAGGAAACATTCCGATTTTTTTTTTCAGCTCATCGACATAAACATTCCGAAATTAGGAAAAACCGAAAAACTGAATAAAAAGCTGAAACATTGTCATTTTGGGTAAAATGAAGAAGAAGAAGAATCTGAGAGAGAGAGATAGAGTGAGAGACGATTGTTACCAAAGATTGAAAGCTCCGCGGGAAGCAGAGAGAGAGAGAAAGAGAGATATACGGATGTGAGGAAATGATTTGGATAAGACTCCGACTCTGGACAGTCTTCCGTCTAGGAATTAAGCCAATTTTATTTTTCTAGCTTACACCAAATTAGATTTTGTGGAATTAATTTTGTCAATATTGCTAACACGTAATTTTCCTGTCTATTTGTTTCTACAGTAACACGTACAAATACAGCAAGTTGTATACTTTTAAAGTAGAGATTATTTCACCTGATTTGGAAAGAAAAATTGTAACTCTGGTCTTCACATTTTGGGTAAATGCTAAAAAAAATTATTAATTACTGCTTGTGAAATGATTATACTGGGGTTCTATGCACAAAACATTCCTCAGCAAATGATAAAAATTGTTTACGACTGTGCAATCAAGTACTGCTGCAAATGGTTGCTTCTCTTCTTGTTCTTGAGTTTCCTGAAAGCAGACGACTCGATCTGCCTCACTCTCTCTCGGCTCACACCCATCGTCTCTCCGATCTCTTGCAACGTCTTCATCCTCCCATCTTCCATCCCAAATCTCCACCGTATCACCTGCTTCTCCCTCGTACTCAACGAGTCCAGCACTTTGTCCAAGTCCTGCCTCATGAACTGCTTTATCAGAATATCTTCTGAAGTTTCTGCTTCAGGATCTGATATCACTTCCTGCATTCACAAACACAACACTTTTGAACAACCAACAAGACTATGATAATGTATAATATGGTGAGTCGTCGTGTCAGGAAGACAAACCGAAGGTTTGAGGTTTAGATTGATTCCGATTTTCTGGTCTAGCGACCTTGGAGGCTTAGGAGAGAGCATAACCGCCATGAGCCTCTTCATCGAAAGCCCTGTCGCTTCTGCGACTTCTTCATTCTCTGGTTGCTTACCCGTTTCGCTGTACAGTTGCTTTCGAGCCTCTTTTACTCGATATGTTGCCTCCACCATGTGAAACTGCCAAATCATTCCATACGAATTTGTATCATCAGGTAAAAGCCTGAACCTCTGTTTAAATCATGTAAAATTACTTTAAAAACATTTGTGATGACTTACAGGCAATCTTATCATTCTGGACTGATCAGAAAGAGACTTCCTCACTGCTTGCTTGATCCACCAATGCGCATACGTTGAAAATTTAAAACCCTTTGTAGCATCAAACTTCTCTGCTCCCCTCACAAGCCCTCTGCACCCTTCCTGTGAGCAATTTAAGAATTTTCAAAACAAGGTCAATGGTTCACCGATACTTTTGTTAGTAAAACATTTCAATATTTTAAGTCGAACCTGGACAAGATCTTGGAGGTTCATCCCAGCTCCTTGATAATTCTTGGCAATTGAAATGACGAGACGAATGTTGCTTTTAATCATTCTGTCCTTGCATTGTGTGCCATAATGTATACGTCTCCTTAAAGTGTTTTGGTCGACTCCAGCAGCAGAAGCCCACTGTGCAAAGCTTGGCTGATGGCCACAACGCTCAACAAGCTCTGCTTGAAGTCTTTCCAACTTCAGAAGGTCCTAAAAAAATGAAAGACCCAAAGTTTGTGATCAAGAAACCACAATAAAAGAAGATCAGAAAGGGAAGTGGTTAGTTTAGAATATTGGAATATCAGTGACAAACAAACCTGAATTCCTGCAGACAGCTCTTGTTCTTCTCTGGCAGTGAGAAGCTTGGAACTGCTTGTTGTCATTCTTAGATAACGCAAAGGATCATTATGGTCAACTTCTTGTGAAGCAACACGTTTCTTTCTAGAGGTCGAACCAGTCTTCACAGATTGCATAGCCGTTGCAGTTTTCTCTAGCCCTTTTTCCCTTCGAGCTTTCCTTTCAGTTTGGCGTGTCGATCTCACAGCCGAACTCGCTGAAAGTTGCTCCTCCAGAAGCTCAACTTCTTGATTCTCTGGTTTCAAATCATCAGACGAATCGTTCTTACAGTCAGGTGCAGGTGCAGTGCTTCTATCACTCACAACTCCATTGTCTGAAACCGCTAGATGTCCCAATATCCCAGCACGTTCCTTCTCTGTAAACTGATCCCACTTGGAGCGTTTGTCGGCGGCCGTCGATGATGAAATGAATAGTTTCGTGTTGTAACTGTTTTTAAACAATGTGGCATCTTTCGCAACTTTGACAGCGGCTCTCGCAAGGGCCACTGCTTCAGCTGCTGCTGCAGCAACCACTGCTTCATCGCTTGTGAGAAGTGTTTCAGAGGCTAAAGCTTCTAAATATTTTGCCTACAAATATACAAAGAAGTTGTTAATAACCATTAGTTAGACGTGACATGGAAGTATAAGAATATTTACTTACCTCAGTGGAAGGACCAATGGTTCCTGTGTAAGTCCATTGCCTGTCAGATATTCGGGAATCTGAATCGGTATTGAAAGAAGGTAGTCTAAGCTTTGCCACATCAAGCACAGTAGTTGATAACGTCGTTGAAGTGGATACTGCGCATTGCGGTTGGAAGAAGACTGGACCCTTGTTGTGTTTTGCTGTATGTTCCAACAAGTGTGTCACATTCACATTTTGAATAGTCTTGAACATATGAGAAATAAAGACATCACATTGATTGATTCAGGTGACATGGTGCATTTTCCATGAAAACAGTGTTCTTTCTAAATCTATAATCTGAATTTCAGAAGTTTGAGATCCTAGAATTGGTTAGTACACAAGGAATTTCAGTAATCAAACAAGGGACACTGTAGCCCGAAACAATTAGAGCTATAGTGACTAAGAACACTGTAATTTCCAATTTCGAGTCGATCTCAGTATTCAACAATATACAAATGGGAGCTACAAAATCACAGTATCCGCTTCTGTGCTAAGTAACACAACTCTTCACCAGTAATTTTGGATTATCAGAACTACATTCTTCAGGTTGATACGAACGAATATATTCATGGATTTTGGTAAAAATTTCCATTTTATAAATCAAAGGCATTCCCAGATGGTAAGAAACGTTACTGAATGTTGAGAACAGAGTAACTGATACCGCAAATAGACATTGACAGGACTAAAGCTAGAAGGATAAACCAATCTGGAATTGAATTGGGCGAAATAGGAGGGTGATATTCAGAATTCAACATGAGAATGAATGTAGATGAGAGATAGAGAGAAGGAAACGCTTACAGACGGAGTGAGAGGTCCTGAAGTGAATAGAGAAGGAATCAGGTTGGCACTTGAACTGAGGAAGAAGACAAGACGACATGCTCTTTCTCGACTAATTTCAAACGCTAAGCCTGACCATTGAAGGCCGTTATGAGATGGTCGAGAGAGAGAGAGAGAAAGGTGAGAGATAACTGGTGATGGCGGATGAAGAAGACGGGAAGAGGATAAAGCTTCTTTGTCATTGACTCTGCTTCCATTAAAACTTGAAGTTGCTTTGGGCCTAAGCCCAATTCCCATCTCACACTATTACCACGTTTTTTTTTCCTATGCTTAGTCAACCATTACGTGGAAATAATATAATTATTACTCTCTTTTGTTTCAAAATATAAGATGTTTACTGTTTAGTTAGCACATATTAAGAGAATCATTAGCTTCTTTTTGAAACAAAAATAGTAAGTTTCTATTTTCGTGTGTTTGTTATGCGGTTATGCCATACAAAGTGTTTTCTATGAATTAAGGATAAACAAATTCTCATAAGTCATAACATTCAAAAAGTTTATTCAAGTGAAAGCTTTCTAAACGTCTGAGGAATCTTCATCATCCTTGTCTCCTCCGGTTATAATGTTCATTAGTGTCTTGGTTGCTCTGCCGATTGCGTGTGAAGTCTTCTGGGCCGCACCAGCCACAACAGGTTTCAGCGATATTTCAGGTAAACTTGCTCTCTCTTCAATCATTGCTGAACCAATGATCCAATGGTCACCATTAGATCATAATTAATTTGCGGTTAATGTTGCCACCATTAACAGAAAAAAAGAGAGAAGCTAAGCTTACAGAGAGTTTGATGGTGTGCAAGAGTTCCAATCTGTCGGATTCCAGCTTCAGCTGCCTGAACCGCTTTAGCTGATTTGGTAACCCCATCAGTTATCTCTTGGCTGAAACCATTTTCACAGCATTATCATATAATCGACCAAAACTTCTAATTTTTGGACAGGTGAAATGGTGGCTCGTAAGAATCAATCGGAAGCAACTATCGAGTTGATTGTTTTGAAACATGTTGCCGTTAAAGTAGAGATGATGAGGAAAAGAAAAGGAAAGAGCTATAGTGATAACCTTAAGTCGCTCAATTCAAGAGTAAGATCGCTTATTTCCATGCCGGAGAGCCTTATGGCTGCCAAGGTACTAGGGAGTTCTTGGCGAGCTGTGTCGGCTAACTTAGCAAAGGAAGATGCAGCTCTTCCCATGGCCTGAATCAAATTGGATAATCAAAACATATCAATTCAAGAATATTGAACTCAAAATTGACAACGCTTTGTTGAGTCAAGCCAAAATCCAAAAAGAGAAACCACAAAGATGACTGAGTTGAGAGTTTTTGTTCAATGTTCTTTCTGTGTTACTGATGCTGCATATTAGAAATACTCAATCCATTTACATGCGCACTCTCTTAGAGCTAAGTGAAACAGTTTTGAGAATGAGTGATGAAGTAAGTAAGAATCAAATGTCGAGAGTTACCAGAAGTGTGGGAATTGCTGCAACCACAAAACTTGTAAATGCCACTGAAGTCTGCAACAGACGACCATCAAGAGACGATGAGCAAAATGTCAAAACAAACACATGTCGAATTCTGATATCTATCGGAACGAAGGCTACACTCGAAATCATCAACAAGTGGTGGAACACAGTCTATCTTCTTTACCGTGCAAGCGATGAAGGCCAAGAGAAGAAATGCCTGGTCGCTTAAACTCAGCTTGGCTAATGGATTGATTGAGTGCGGAGAAACAGGGCTGCCCACACTTTGTTTGAAATTGTCAATGGATTCATCTTCAATCACACTAATCGATGCCCTAGACACGATCCCACCTCCATGGGCTGGAAAGGAATTCGATAAACCCTCAGAAATCGAGCTCTTTGGAGGAGATAAGTAGAGCGAAGGTGGAATCGTAAGTGTAATTCGATTCAAATTTGTTCGAGAAAGAGAAAGAAATGGAGACGAACGAATCGGAGGAGGAGCTGTAGAAATCAACCCAAAACATTTCATCTCTTTCGAATCGGAAACCTGAAATTTGATTTCCTACTGCAATCCAAAAATTGCCTCGCTTCCTTGAACTTCGGTTTATCCGCCGCAAAATTAACCGACGAAATTGTGACGACTCGTAAATTCTATTTTCTTTCGTTGCTAATTTGCATTTAAGTACTGTAGTTGGTCAATTTAGGAGGTGGATTTCATTTCATATCATTTACTCTTCCATGTTTAATGAACGAAATGTAATGTGTTTGTTGTTGGGTCAAAAAAGCAGAATTACAAGAATATACACTGTAATCAATCATAGACCAAAGTATTTGCAATAGAAACGAGCTCAAGAATTCTTGAGAGCTGATAATGCATCCTTAGTGGTGGCTGAGATGACAGCATCCGAAGCATTTGGCAAGTAGTAATATTTCCCTGCAATCAATCAAAAACATTCCCAATGTGATTTGACTGGAAAAACAAGAATATCTCAGTCAATTGCAGAATGCAGATGTCACAAACCTTGAGCAACTCTTGCGATCTCCTTGGCAAAACCAGTTGAAACAAACTTGTTCTCAGTATCAATCACTAGAAGAGACATCCCTGCCTTGTATATCTTCGCCGCAACTTCCAGAATCTCATCCTAAAACCAACACAGTCGAAGATCCCCATTTGTAAATCTTCTGAATTTTCAAGGACTCAGAGAGTGAGAGAGAGAGAGAGAGAGAGAGATCTTGTTTTTAGTTTTTACCTTCAATTCTTGGGAAGTGGGTCTAGGAGCATCAGGGTCAATACCCTCGGGATCAGTTGATCTTTTCAGTGTAATGTTAGCTCGACCGTCGGTTATTGCAACTATCATTATACGCCCAACATCACCACTCTTCTCTGCGTTAAGTCCCACTCTCACCGCCTAATAAAAATTTATTATCATGCTGACCCACAATAAGCCTCACTCTTATCATTCATACTAACAACAGGAACAACACAATATTTGACATACCGTTGTTAGACCGTGGGCAAGAGGAGAACCACCACCACAAGGAAGTCTCTCAAGACGATTTCTTGCCATTGCAATTGATCTTGAAGGGGGCAACAACACTTCCGCAGAGTCACCTCTGAAAGGAATTATCGAAACCTGTACCAATCACTCGAGTATGAGTCTCATTTTAACAATCAACAAGCACGTGTCACTGTTCAATAGAGAGTAATTTTTACCTGATCCCTGCTAGTATAGCTCTCTGCCAGCAGTTTTAGTGCAGCACCTTTGGCGTTTTGCATACGATTCAATGCCATGCTGCCACTTGCATCAACCACGAATATAACCTGGCACACAACAATGGTAAGCCATGGATATCAAGGAAGCTGTCAAGTTTATACAATTTTTAAGAAGAATGAAAAGGACAAGATTCAAATACCAGGGCTCCGGCTTTTCTTGCCATTCTTTTGGCCCTCATATCTGTTTTCTCGACAAAGACTTTCCTAGTTCCCAAAACATCCTTCTCTCTACGCAATTTCTGGTATGGTGCAGCTGCTCTAAGGGTTGCATCCACAGCTAATCTTTTTACTGGACCCTGTCAAAGTAAAATTTGATAAGGACTATGCACGTTTGGGATCCCTTCTGTGAACTCTCTCTCTCTCTGCACTTAATTTAACTAGCCAGATTACGAGTGACCTCGAGAGCAAACCTTAGGAAGCATTGGCTTTATATAGCGTCCTCTGTCTTCTGAGAAAATGACATTCTTCGCTCTTCCAGCTTTGCCCTTGCGTCTCTGGGCTTGTTGAGCAAAGAAGAGGAGTTTCTCATCCACCAGTCCGCCCTCAGCATCAAATATAAACTCGTCAGGTATTTGGGGCTGTTGCTGCTCATTTTCATTTTCTTCATTGTTTTCATCCTACATTGGTTGAGGATTTATATTTTAGATAACCTTGTTTTTGTGTCCAGCAAGAGATGCTAATGTATTACCTAATCCACTGACCTCTTTTTCTTCTTCTTCTTCTTGATCTTCTCCAGAATCACTACTTTGTGGAGGCGGTGGAGGAGGTGGTGGTTGGTTTTGTTGGTCAGGTGGAGTCTCAACTACGTCTGAACGAGGAAGAATCACCAGTTCAACCTATTGAAAAAGGACCACATTTGCTAATCAGTCTCTGGAGCATGACGTAAATACTAGATCCAACTAATTATAAAGCGTCCAAAATGCAAAGTAAATTTTTAATAGAAGAAGTGCTTAACGGCTTTTCTGAGGTCATCAATGGTGACTTTTTCTCGCCCTTCAATTGCAGCTAAGCACTTGGCCACACGGGCTGCATATAATTCGGCGCGGTGTCCCTGACAACCACCTCGCTGAGCTTCCAAAACCAGATACTTTAGTTGTTCTCTACTTATCTTGACATCTTTCAAATACTCTCTAGCCAATATAATCTGCAGTCAGAGAAAATACACTGGATTACTATTATGATGACCAAGAAAAGTGTCATAAGAAGCATTGGCAGGCCATCCAACTTTTGCTAACCTGAGTCTTTGCTGTTTCTGTCTCTTCATCAACCATTCTAAAAACCTCACTATAGCGGTCCTGGAACTGTGTGGCAATTCCAACTGCTGCGACACGATCTTCAAAACTCAGAGGAAGGTCTGCACTGCAAAAAGAAAAAACTGGAACCACCCAAAAGAAACAGTCCATATTTTCTATTCTTGATTTGAAGACTCTAGCGATACCTTAAGTTAATGGCAACACGGTCTAGCAAATGCTCTCGAACAGCACCTTCCTCAGGATTATAGGTTGCAATCAAAAGTGGCTTGCATGGGTGCCTAAAGCTGATTCCTTCTCTTTCAACTATGTTGACACCATCCGTCAATACATTGAGAAGCAAATTACTAATTCCCTCGTCTAAGAGATTTATCTCATCAACATACAACACTCCCCTATGGGCTTCAGCTAAAAGACCAGGCTGGAAAACAGTTTTCCCCTGTTTCACAGACTCCTCAACATCAACAGACCCAATGAGTCTGTCTTCTGTGACTCCTAGAGGAATCTGTGTAACACAAACGACAGAAAAAATCCTAAGTAACAAGAAAACTAAATTCAGAAAAGTTGTAAAGGCTCCTAAAATTAAAACGTACCTGAATGAAAGGAGACTTGACAATCTCAGTCTTAATGCTTTTATCAGCATTGTACTCTACTTTCTCAGCTAGTTCGTCTTCCCACCTACATGTTATATCAAGACCAACAAAAAGGATGTGATTAAGGCATCATCACATTACTACAGTTGGTTTGAGGTTGTGAGATGCTTACTCATCTGGGCACGACGGGTCAGCATTTGATATTGAACCTACAACAACTTCTATAGGAGGGAGGATCGCATGTAACCCTCGAGCCATGATTGTTTTTGCAGTCCCTCTACGACCTGAAATTGCAATCCCTCCGATTTCACGATCAACCGCCCCAAGTAGAAGAGCAGTTTTTATGCCTTCCTATAAGATTTGCAACATAGCAACATTGAAGAGAAAATTTAGGATGCTTCAATTATATACCCAAACCAACTAAATCAAACCATTTATGTTGATAATACAATGTACAAGCTTCAACGACACGAAAGTATGATCCGATTGATATTCATTCAGTAGCTACACTTGATTGAGAAAACTGATTCGGATATGAGTACAATTCTGCAAGCTAGTGAACTGAATTGCGGCAAACAAAAGTTAGCAATTTCGCGAACCTGGCCAACGACTGCGGCCAAAGGGAAATACTGTCGGCCATAGGAGATAGTCTCGGTCTCTGAGGTCGACGGAGCGACGCCGTTTGGAGATTCGACGGTAGCATTCGCGGAGGCGCGTACAGTGAACCGGTACGAAGCTCCTCTGTTCCGTTTGGGGAAGGAGAGAAACGGAGGCTTGGGTACGAGATCAGGGAGGATATCACAGCGAAAGGTTGAGAAAGGAGAAGATGCCGCAACAGGAGTCATCGCCATTTTCAAGATAGGAGAAGGAATTTGAGTGTGTTTTCTACTGTTTCAGTCTTATCAGCTTATTTCGGTTCTATCTTCTCTCCTCATCCTTTTCCTGATTGGAGCACTGTTGCTTACTCAGATTTTATTTAAATGGAAAAATGCATTTTAAAATTAATTGTGAAATTCGAAACACAATACTTTTTGTCACCCCTTTTGAATTTCGATATAATTGATACAGTAACGCTTCCAGCAGAAACAACTAATTGTCAGGAACATATAAATTATTAAGATTAACCAATAAATAATTAATGAGGATTATAAAATATGTTAATTTTAAGCTTTAAAATAATTAAGTTGCATAATATAAAGATAAATTTATCGGATTATCATATGCTTAAAAAAAAATAGAATACTATGTTTATATTATATGAATCATCATGATAAGCTTGAAAGAAGGCTTTAAGTTGGAGCGTTGATAACTAACCAAAAGTGAGTTGAGTCGTTTGGATTTAGAAAACTAGTAGTAATAAAAATGGTGTAAACATAGAATCACAAACGTATTAACTATATAGCTTGAAAATTGATTCCACCATGTGGAAGATATCCAAGGTAGTAATCATTCTAGATTTTCTACGTCGTTCCCGCTAGTTTTACGAGTCATTTATAACGCAAATCACGAGCTATTGACTTTTTTTTTCCATTTTATCAGAACAACAAACTATATGCACTAACAATGTTTTCACATGGAATAATAAAATTATTAGGAACAACGAATCCATGTCATCGTACTCTCAGAGTGCAAATGTTCCCATGTGCGTTTATCCTAATTCCTAAGTAATCATAGATTTAGTTTAAGGACATATATTTAGTTCAAGGACATGTATACGTAAATGCAGCTAACGGTTGTAGTTTTGGACCAGAAATTAGCTTAACGGTTTAATTTGTTTTGTGTTCGTTCCATTATACTCTGTTTTAAAATCGAATACAAACAAGACTCTAGTTGTTGGTCACAAACTTCTTCGTTCTTTTTTTTTTTTTGATAACCGTGGGTGATCCAAAGGCTTTCTAGGCTCAAAACTAAT